AATCCTCTTGAAATGTAAACCGAGAATAAATGACTAAGCAATATGGGAAGGTCCGATGCTTGTTTAATATTCGAATTTGCAATCCCGTCCGTTCCTGAGCAGTGTGAGTCTTTCAAACGACTTATGTGTTACTTAATGAGATCTGAGAAGACATCGATTGTACTCAGTGTCCTATCTGAAAGTGAGCGAAAGCGAGGGACTGGTTCGGACTCATTTGCAAGGTACTTTGCAAATAAATCACTAAACAACTCCGTCTTGTCCGTGTCATCAATGAGGAAGATTTTGTTTTCGTTTAGCAGGTGGTGGAAGTTCGTGACCACGCTTAGGGGAGGACCGATGACGGAAGGTATTAGCGACGGATTTTCCAGGGTTTGAATCACTGAGGGTAAGTGATTCTCGTTGTCCGTCGCGCGCTTGGCGCATCCTTGAGGCCATCTCAAAAATATGTGATTCTAAAATGAATTGTCAAAGGAACTAGTGGATAGGTCACACAGCTGCCGTCTCAACGTTTTTCGTCTGTTGTGAAGAAAATGAGGAACAAGGGAATCTGAAGAATTAGGCTTCAGATATCTACGCGGCACAAACTCTAGGATGTCCTTGGAAACATTGGACGTTACATCACGAAGAATGGCTGCATCGCTACAGGAGAGGAAGCCACACCAATCCAAAGATCTAATAGTTATTTATTAAGTCGTTATCTGCGCAATCGTAGTTTAGGTAAGTTCGAGCAGTGCTGGGTTTTTTGAAAAGGCAAGCGATAAGCAACAATGAATTAATACTGGTCACTGTCAAAGAGGTCCTTTTTGAAAGCAACAAAAAGAGGAGCTATAGCATTGGTAAAGACTGGATCTAAGGCGTGGTTATCTCTTTTTGGAGAGCGCACAAGTCGGGATCAGTTAGAAAAATTGACAATATCTCGGAAGGGCTGGAATCTAGGTGGACAGATATTGGAGACCCAGCCAGTTTCAGCAAGGTTTAAATCCCTAGTGATTATTGTAACATTGAAAGCAGATCCTAAATTTCATTTAAAGATTTCACAGAGTTGTGAATCATTACTGGCTGAGAAATTTGGGGATTGTAGATACAGCCAATAATTGCCTTCCTTTGCGGCGAGAGAATAGCAGATGCAAAGCAGAAGTTTCTCGTGAATGAGGAAACATCCATGTGATAGAGAGAGTGCTTTAGGTAGGACATAAGATAAAGAAGACAGCCGCCTCACGCCTAGTCGTGCGATCTTGACAGTAAAAATCGAAGTCATCTTTGAAAAGGGCAGAGTCAGTAATAAGATAATCGGTCCAAGATTCTGTTACACATATAATATCAGGCATCATTTCGAGAGCAATGGCTCTGATTTTGACCATCATGTTTATAACTGAGATGGCATTCAATAATATAATATCTAATATGCTTCGAACAGCAAGGTTATTGTCGACGGTATTTAGAAAACAAATTTGAAGGGGGATATGTAGACTGCGAATTAATGATGCTTGGAGAATAAGTACCAGATAGTCTAGAGTTATTGACGTACGGGGAGTCAACAAGAGAAGGCTGAGTATGAGACCTAAAGGATGTGGGCATATAGTTTTCGGACATTGGAATGCTAGGGGAGGTAGAACATGGATAGACTTGTTGGTAGTTAAATTGTGGAGGAAGGGGAGGAGGAGGGAGCCTAGAAGGAAAGTAGAGGCTAGTGGGTGAGGGTAGACCGCTATAAGAATAAAAGGGTGGGAACCCAGGTCTAGGTTGGAAGCCAAAGGAGTTAGGTTGACTTACGTGAGAGCAAATGCCTTAAGTGGTGGGAAGCCTGAACTAGGTTGGGGGATAAATGACTTAAGGCCATTCACGCACGAATTATTTGCTGGATATATAGTAGGGCTTTGGTAAGCAACTGGCAAGCAGGACAGATAGTCATTTGTGGATATCATTGGAGCTGCGGGGTTTGTAGACTAGCTGGGCTGTAAAGGCTTGGTAGATCTAATAGAAGGCGGCATACCCCCAAATGGAACTGTACAAACTTTCATTTTGGTCGGAGTCTGATTCAGTTTTGGAGTCTCACCGTTCAGACGCCAAGCCACAGGTGACTTAACTGTAGAGCTTGCAGCACCCTGTTGAACAGGGGAAGTTATTGGTCTACCTGATTTAGACGGATTTTCATGCGTCCCAAGGGGCTATCTGGAGGATAGGAAACGACAAATGGGGCTGCTGCTTCTGCTAATTCAGGGGCAGATGAATGCATCAAGTTGCCTGAATGAGAGGGAAATGTAGGAATAAGGGGAATGAGGGAGTCAGTTGTCGCAGGAGTAGGACCAGCTGAAGCCTCACGGCTACTTGCATTATGGCCTAGCGAACGAGCATTGGCATGCACAGCCCGTTTTTTATGCGTCCGGGATTAATTAGACGGTTGGAGACATCGAGTGGTTTAAATGATGTTTTTCGAAGTAGTGGACCCAGCTCCGAAGGAATTATGGATGGTATTTAATGAAAAGGGCACCAAGTAGCGGAAGGCCTAAAACATCTTTTCGTAAAATTTTGTGCTATTTTTGTTCTTTGGGCGCAGATACAAGGTCGTATTTTGACGCGATGGCTGGCTTAGCAATGCATTTTGTCAAGAAGACCTTTCGCGCGCATAGTTTCGGTGCGCATAGGTACGAGATGCAGTACGCTCGCGGCAATTTTCCACGACTATCGCTCAACAACTGGGAAGAGTGGTTGCCATATGTGAACCTGTAGGCCCAGCATACTCGAGTCACGCTATTAACTACATTGACAACATGCGAATAAAATGGCGAATCTGAGACGAGTGCTCCTACAGTACTGCAGGCTCTACACGAGCCTTACATGCTGTGCCGAAAGTGTGGTAAAATTTATGCGTTCAAATGACGTTGACAATGAAAAGTCAGAAGTCGGGGATAGTTGCCGTCTCAGGCAGTGTGATTATCACCTTATCTATTTGGAACAATATGCCAGGGACTGATGGCATATGCATCAGGCGTTTCACCTAACAAATGGAAGCCGGTAAAACGGTCAAGGAAACCAATGAATGATTGGACGCATGCATTCATCGGCAGTTTGTGGCCCGGGAACTGTCGTGTGTCCACATGTTAAACGCGGTGGGAGTGCATTCGCGGTCCTGTTTCGGGACGCGCTCGAGACTCAATCTGTGGCCTTTTTGAGTTTTTTCATAACTATCAGTAAATGCGCTGACTATTTCTGATTTAGTAACCACCGCCAGCTGACATTACCCCAACCAGGTCCGGGTCAATTTGGATCCAAATCCGCATTTTTTTCAGCTAGCGTTGACGAGCCCATTGTGCTTTGTTAAACCTCATGCCCATTGTCTTACAAACTGAGATTGGGAAATGTCAGCCTGAATTCCCCCACTCTTTGTCCGTATCCCATTCTGCGCAGTGGATTTCAGAATTGCAAAAAATATGACATGCTACTGCCTAACTTGCACATTTGCAGTTGACCTAGAGCCTGAAAAGTAATTATTCCGCCTGCTTTCAGAGGCCATCCATTGCAGATTGCCGGTTATTGGGCAGGTGAATCGAACCATGACACACATATAGTATGTAGGCATAATGAACGACGGCCGTCCGGCAGTCACTGTGTTCAAGAGGACTGTCCGTATTCAGTGAATAGCCTTTATTTTCGTGATACACAACAATGTACATTTTCAGTTTCAGTTTCAGTTTATTCAGGGAAATATAGGCGAGCGCCTTTGAACTCCCTATTGGTTACAAGTCGTCGGAGAAAAACATTGATAGTGGGAAGGCGAAAAAAGGGGTTTTGTACATAATCGTTGACAGCTAGTATGAAAAGAGTAATAAATAACGGTTGCTAACTAGTTACAAGTAGTATAAACAAGTTTAAGTTGGTGCCAGGTTATGTGAGTGGATGTAAGGCTGGTAACTGGGAGGCTTGATGCGCGTCAAGTCTACACTTAAAGGACTTCACGCAGGGGGAAGTTGCAACATCGGTGGGCAGGGCATTCCACACTGCAACCACTCTGTGACTGAAAAATAACTTTCTCCCATTGATCCTTGCTTTCCCGGCGCGTAGTTTTAGGGGATGACCGCGCAAATTGGGCGCGTTAGCTTGTGTGAAATAATCAGTGGGATCTAAACAACAGTCTAGGCCGTTGATAATGCGAAATGCAAGTATAAGGTCACCACGTAATTGCCTATAATAAAGTGGAAACAGGTTGAGAGTTGGCAGTCGAGATTCGTAAGACAGCGCTCCCAGACCTTGTGTCATTTTGGTCGCCCGTTTCTGGACCTTCTCCAAAACGGTATAGTCCTTGGCAGTCCAAGGTCTCCAGGCCTGTATGGCGTATTCTAGATGAGGCCTCACGTAGGTGCCAAATATTTTTGAAAAGCTGTCTGGATCAAATTCCATAAATGCTCGCTTAATGAGTTGCAGTGTAGCCATAGCCGATTTAGCCGCCTGGAGGATCTGAAGCTGCCTAGTTGAAGGAAATTGCCCTTGCTTATATTGAAGGGCATAAGCCAGCGCTTCGACCAGTCTTCGAGCCTGTTCAAGTTTGCTTGCAGGTGGTCTGCGTCTGCCGCATTGTGAATAACTTCCCACAATTTAATGTCGTCGGCAAACAGGATGGTATCACAGTCTAAGTCCTTGACGCAGTCATTTATGAAAACGAGGAATAACGTGGGACCTAGGACTGTGCCCTATGGGACGCCACTCACCACGCTTACCTCTGAGGACTGTTGACGACCGACCTGCACTCTTTGGGACCGTCCAGCCAAAAAGCTCTGGATCCATACAAGAAGGCGTCCACGAATTCCAGCGTTGCGCAGTTTGTGCAAGAGACGTTGGTGGGAAACGCTGTCGAAGGCCTTTTTGAAGTCGATGTAGATGGCGTGCACCACACTACCTTCATCGCGTGCTTTGGTCCAGCGTTCGAGCGTAAAGAGCAGATTCGTGAGGCAGGACCTACCACTTCGAAAGCCGTGTTGTGCATCAGAGAGGAGGTGGTGCTGCTAGAGGAACTGCATCAAGGCCTTCTTAATGATCTTCTCCATGATTTTGCAACTGATGGAGGTAAGACTCACTGGCCTGTAGTTATTCGCAGACGCACGACTTCCGCTCTTAAAAAGCGGAGTGATGGTAGCGGACTTCCAGTCAGAGGGCAGGCATCCAGTAAGAAATGATGTTTGGAAGATCAAGGCTAAAGGCTTGGACATTTCGGGAGCTAGCTCCTTCAGCAGCTTGGCGGGGATTGCATCAGGGCCTGGGGAGGTCGATTCTTTCAGATTAAGTAACTCGTTCCGAACAATTGCCTCGGTGAAGAATACGGCTCTAAGGGTAGGCTTCTCTTCGTCTTCACAAATGGGGGAGAGAAAATCAGGTTCACCTGTCACGACGGACCGGAAAAACTGAGAGAGGTGTTCAGCCTTATCCTTGTCATCGAAGATTTCCATTCCCTCGGCTGTTCGCAGCAGTGGGATGGGGTCTTTGTGCCGCGTGCTCTGTCTTATGTAGCTGTAGAGGACTTTGGGATTAACCATGGCACGGTTCAGAAGATCCTCTTCAAAGGCTTTCCGATCTCTAGCGATGAGAACTTTGACCCGATATCTCTGTGACTTATAACTGCATAGGTATTCTGGCGTCCGGTCAGTCAGGGATCTTTTCCACAGCTTCCTCTTCTTGTTAACCTCCTTCTTTAAGGACGGAGTCAGCCAGCGGGGTCTATTTGTTAGTCTTCTGCGCATGATTGGGCAATGGTTGGAGATGAGGTTGTGGACTAACTCTTTTGAACTGACACCAAACCTCTTCGACATCGCCGGATAGAGTGGATGCCCAGTCGATAGGACTTAGCTAACTTCTCATCTGTTCGAAATCTCCGCGCCAAATATTGGGTCGGGTATCGAGCGGTTGTGCAGGCAGGGGAATAAGGTGTATTCCCACATGAGAACTACATGGTCACTCTGACCCAACGGGGGGGAGGCAATTCACAACGTCGATATTGTCAGAGGACTTGGTGAACACCAGATCAAGGCAATTCATTTGCTGACCCTCTCGAACTCTCGTTGGAAACATTACGTGTTGGGGTAGAAGCAGATTGTCGGAGGTACGCAGTAACTGCTGGTCGAATGCTGCTTCAGAGCAGCCGGCTGAGGCCGAGCTGCAGTTTATGTGAGGTGCATTAAAATCTCCAACGATGAGAGTAGTCGGTCGCGTTGAAAATAGCCTAAGCTCCTCCAGCAGTTGGGCATCAGCGTCAGGGTCATTTCTCGGGGGGCGATATACTGTCAAGATATCGAGGCTTTGAGAGCCCGGCGCCCTTATGGTCAGCCACAACGGTTCCGTACTGCAAGTCAATTGGGCAGTTTTTTCTGAAACGTATAAGCCATTTTAACAAATGTTACTATGCCTCCACCCCTCCTGTTTTGTCTGTCTTTGCGGAACAGTTGAGATCCAGGGAGCATGAGTTCTCTGTCATCAATCTGTTCGGACAGCCATGTTTCTGTTATTGAGATAACGTCTGGGTGGAGGTCATGGGTCAGGATACGAAGTTCATACAGTTTAGAAAGTACACTTTGCGCGTTGGTATACATGAATATGAGTTTCGAGTTCATACGTGATTTTTTATCAACCCCGACACAGGCTACCGTGGTATCTGTGCGGTCATTCGGATCGGCTTGATCCGGAGGGGGGCGGAATGTCGTTTGACTATCCGGTCGTTGTAGATTGTCAAGTCTTTTTCTCCGTTGGTTTGTCGCGTTCTCAATTCTAGGACAAGTTCGCGGCGTTTCATTCTCTCGGCCGGTGAGTAGTCCGGCTGAAAAACACTCCTTTAAGGGAATGTTTCAGTCGAAAACGTCTGGAAAGGATTAGTTTCGTCTGCTCATTGCTACCTAGGACAAGTTTCAGGGGTCTTGGTCGTGTCTGTGGAGCGGCGGTTGTACGGTTACCAAGACGAAACGCCTTTAGGACTGTGACATCTTCTGTTGGTTGCAGCATTTCATTTAGGAGTTTCTGGAATTGCTCTAAGTCAGCAGCGACTCGTTCCCTGGGGGTACTGGCGGAGGACTCTGGGAGGCCATGAATTATGATGCAGTGATCCTTGTTAAGCATTCCTCTGTGTTCTGCGGTTTGGACGTCATTGACCGGTCCTTTGCCCTCGTCGAAGTGGACTGGCGAAAAGGAAGGGGCCGTCATATTGGTATTTATGTCCCCGTGAAGTTCGTCCGCGGATCTTGTTAACGCATCATGAATAGTTGCACGATGGGGTTGATCGGCACTGCCTCCCATCAGAGGGCTCTGAAGAGAGCTTGACCCCCATGAATTAGAAGCTTCCTCGACTCGGTTCTCAACTCTGTTGACATGGGAATTCGCGGTGGCAGCTAATTCCACTGTGGGTCCATAACCATATGTCATTGCGCTAATTGATAAGCCCTCTAAGTTTGGCTCCGGAAATAAGCACATTGTTTGGGGATTTCTACGGTTGGGCGTCAACTGCTCCTTTCCTTTCACTTCTGCTGCTGGCACATTTACGGCCGTTTCATTTTTCAACTGCTTTTCGGACAAGACCGATATGCTCTCTTTCGTATTCTGGCGACTTTTCCCCGTGGTGTTAGGTGTAGTCTTCTTCTTATTTTTTTTTTCATCGGATGCCACTATTTGCCCACTAACAGCAGTTGTCTTATTCACCACATGATTGCTTTCTGAGGATTCTTTACACTGGATGGCTCCTGCTCCACTCCGAGTTAGCCTCTGCGTAGATAACACCGGGCGGTCCTCTGAAGAAACTGTCTTGTGTATGAGTTCCTTCAGATTTCTTACTTCTTCCTCTAGTTTATGCATCTTGTAGGCTATCGTTTGACAGCCATTGCATGAATATCCTACCAGATCCTGTGGTGACAAATTAACAAAGCTTTTAGCTGCGTGCTCCGGTCGTTCTGCGATAGTGCAGGGGTTAGCGGAGCTGGCTCTAACTTTTGACGTCCCCGGTTCGAACCCCGAGTGCGCGTTACTTTGAAACTGGTGCGGACTCCAACATTCTGGATAACTTTTCTATATACACAAAGAGCGCAGGCTTAAGTATGAAGAAAAGGCTTTTATGACGATCTTTCGGAAGAAAGTAACTTCATATGGTATTGTCGAGAAGCTTCCGAGGGCAGAAATTTAGACAAATACCTTGAGACTATGATGAAACAATGTCTAATAGTGGAAAAGCCACTCAGCCTTTGACGAAGTTTCGGATGTATTGTTCTGCAGATAATCCGTCTGTCTGGGCTTGCAAGTTGTAGAAACGAGCACGGCCGAAATCGGAGTACTGGGAATGTGCTGCAGAAGACTAGTTGGAAGGAAGATGTTGATGAGTCGAGTTAAGGTCTTATTTCCGTCTTAATTGAGGCTCTAATAGCGTACAGTAAGTCGAATTCCCGAAGAAACTAAATTCCGAGAGAGGACGAAAATTTGAAACCAAGTTCGAAGCGCGCGGGTAATAGTAATAATGATAGCCGTATTTAATGTCAATTCACAGGCATTGTCAAAGAAAAATAAAGCACTGACCGGACTACCAGTGAAAAAACTCCGTATGCTTAATTACTGAGAATGGTGACTTTGCAGTTTAGATTGTTCAGGTGAAGAAATCTGCTGCCCATGAAATGACGTCGTCCAAGAAAGGAATGGGTAGCGCTGCTTCGGATACTTTCAGGCTCAGTTCCTTAACACGAAATTTTTACTGGACCAAACAGAAGCATTGAAAAACCGTTGTTCGTTGGCGGCCGAGGAAACTGTCCGTGGTTAAACGGGCTAGGGAATCAGAGATCGCGATCTCCGTCATTACGGTAGATTAAATCGGTAGAACAGACACCCAAAATATGTGTATGAATAAATATCCGCACAAAGGATGTCACATACATATAACAACCATTGGTATATGACAGTTCTCGATTCAGTTGTTTGATAGAATTATTACGCATGTACAACTGACAACTAAGACTAGCCCTACCTATACATATGGTAATGAAATGGCATTCACACACAAAATAATCTAAGGAAAAACCAAATAACAAGCGCACTCAGATATGAAAGAGACGACTAACGGTAGGTGGATACCAATGACAGTTGCAAGTTGGACATAGCCGTGATATGATCTGCTGGTGTGAGGAAAGGCGACTAACAATCGGCAAGTAGTGATAACGGTATTGATGACCGTGACCCACTTTCTCGATTCAATTCGACCACGGCTGGTTTGTGTCCTTCTTTGGACTGTACTTATTTCGTAATCCCTGGAAATATTGTCTTTTTTGTATTGTTTTAGTCACGCATCCTCTTCTCATAGTCGGTTTTTGGGTTGTGCCACGAAGGTTTGGTACTTTGTCTGACGGCATGTGCGCTGTCGTAAATGGCCAACGAGTTTTCCTGGTTAATCGATTTTGACAGTGAAAATGTGGAAAGGAACGCGTGATCGATAGCGCACATTGCTTGTTTTTCGGCGTCAGTATCGGTTTCGGGTACTTCGTTTATGTCTTTGACGGTGTTCGACTACCCCAGTACAGTTAAGATAGTATATGGACAATAATGCTACGTCGGCTCCGATATTTCTGCAAGTCCCTGGCTAGTTATCTGATTGACTGTGCGAGTAGCCCAGTCTTAATGCCTTATTAGCCGTCCGGCACACTACGACAGTCAACCCACGCGCAGGACACTCTAAACCCTATGCGACCCTTTTCCTTCCCAGGTGCACTCAACATACATAATCGATGTGGGAGTGCCAAGTAATTCACGGATTACTTCGCCGCTTGCCAACACATTCGGCCTCGCCTGACGCGGAGTAAAATCGATACAGTGTGTGCATCATCGGGACCTTTGACGCAGACTAATAGATGTGTAGTGCCCCGCAGGCACTGACAAATCATTTACCACCAAAGTAACGCCGGTAGGAGCTAAATATAAACAAGCACAATGTTATTGGGAAAGGTATAAGAGGAGAACTAACCTAGTCATTGTGGATGATCCACATGATATTGCATTCTGCAGTTGTTTACCCGCAGTATTTGAGTACTATTGTCATTCTTATTTCGTTGTATCTATCACGCACATCCTTACACCGCGATATAGCGAGGAGTATTTCCCCTCATTACATATGGCAACTAATTATGATGAATCCGAACGAGTCGCCTGTTGAGACGAGCCTAGCCTACCAGCCACAGGAATAAGAGACAACAAAGAACTCCTGGCGGGTGCCGGATTTAGACCAAGACAAAGACAACTAAAATCACAGAATTGAATTACGCCATCAAATTTTTGCGATCCCTTATTCACTTGCTCTTGGTAATCGCGTATTTATAAATCTAACGGTTCCGTAGGAGAACGGCCTACGGCGATCAGACAGGAATTGTGTAAAAACGTCCTTCGCACCACGCCCACTCATATATCTGATCAACATTCTCACCGTTTTTGTGCCTACCCATTTGGTAGTACTTGTCAGTTTGTAATAAACCGTTAGACTTAAATATGTCATGATCGAGAGTATTTAAGCAATCGTTAAAAGATTTTGTGCCGCCATAAAATTTTACTTGTTTAGTCGCATTTGTCTTGATTAGATTTATTCCAGGAAAACAATATTGGTAATATCCCCAGTAGGTATTTGAAGAACGCTACATTAGTGGTAGCTCGTGCGCGATTTTACCTACTTTCCCGTCTCATAAAATTTCGCAATCACGGGTCCTCTTTTCAGTCGTGCCGCACAGACCCTCTTTTTATTCTCAAAGCCAGTCTGTCTGGACAGAATTTCTGTAGCCGGCCGTATGGGTTCTACGGTAAATTGAACAGAATAGGATTGTTAATGCAACTCATGTGTTGCAAGGGAGCGATTACGGAGTATTAGGTCACGTGGATTACCCACTCGGTTCGGACTGACTTACATCTTGTGTCTTATCACATCCCATCAAGGAGTTTGGTGAAGTATCAACGACGACATTGATGTTAGAAGCGAAGAAATGCACTCTGTTAGTCACACGTTCCTCGCCACATTTTCACTCCCAACAACTCACTGGTCATCGCAGTAGTGTTTTGACGAATCACGCAAGATATTCCACACATTTTCTGTGCAGAACTTTGTTTGCCTCCATTGTGTCCTGCCACCCCTCTTTATTTTTTCCTCATATTCCTCTTCTGGTAATCGAACTATACGTCATGGGTAGACAATTTATCATGATATCAGCCACCTCTCCTCACACCCTTTTTCCACAAAACTACCGAACTATCCTGTTTACCTACTTTGCTTGTCCCCTCATTTATTACTGCGGATTAAACTGGATCCAAGTTGCAAAGTCACGACCTCGCGAATGATAGCATTCCGTTTTATTGAGTCAGCAGTTGACTCCTGAACGAACCCGAGCCTATTATCACGCAAGCTCCAAAAACTGTGGGTCAGAGAAACGCCCGGGATCATTTTATACTATTTCTACCCACATTTTGAGTCGGCCGCCTAGGTGCTGTCTCTAACTACGTCCGGGTACTGACGGGCTCGCATTCCAAACTATTCCACCCTCCGTTTTGCGGAGCAAATGGCTGAACCTTTTCTGTCTGCAAGTAACGGCAGTGCAGTTGACATATTTTCCCGACCAGCTATATGGTATTCCGTTGGAGACATCGCCGGAGCTGCCAATTTGAGGAGAGTCCAAGCACCATATGTCGAATACTTCTGGACTGTCACACGTCTGTTAAGGAGGCTCTTGACAGAAGCCTATGCTCACAGCTTTATCGTCCAGTTTGTCTCAGACCGATTCGATAGGTTTTGACTGAGTCAAAGTTCGCTTACGCCTGTTAGACCTAGTTTTTAGCCGTCTTCCTTATAACTGTTTGGCAGAAAGGTAGAGTCAAGTCATAAAAATCTGCCCACAGGTCCGAGAGTTCCACCGCCTGTAATGGCCAAATAGGTATCTTTGGCCACGAAGCCCGAGACAATCATCTCCATGACTGGTCTCATAGGAACCGGTTCTACTATTTCTAGGAATGCTTAACAGATAATTTAGTGAATGGGAGCAATAGTGCTTAGCGTTCTTGACAGCTGTTACCCGTTCTAATTTCTGCAACTTAATGCCACATTGCATCACGAACAAGTGCGAGCCATACTCAACCATGCGGCCCAAGGTTGTTATCACAACACGGTTGTGCTCTCGTTTTCGATCGCAGAAGATCATTGAACTCGGTATTTTCTCTCAGTTACCTTCCTGTGTTCTGTGCATTTTCGTTTCACCTTTATAGCACATACATCAGCACATTCGAAAGCACAGACGGATTACTTATGCAGTAGCCAAGATTCTTGGGACAACGTAGTTTTGTCATTCGTCGGAGTTCCAAAGAAAAAGGAACTGGCATCTGCCCAGTTTAGGGACCAACCCCGCTGTGGTTCTCGCTTGCGCCAGACTCCTGTTGATCCTGCGTAATGTCAGTAGGATCGGAGATGTCTGGCGTTATCACGTGCGAACCTGCTTTCGTAAGCTTGCGAAGGTTCATGTTCGTCACTACTGTGTGCACTGTCAATGACAGGACCAAAGGTTGCCCGCTCTCTCATTCTAAAACATTAACTTGACCTGTCCTTCAGACCTCGGACTACCAGAATCCGATGCAACAGCCGTCCGAACCTTTAATTGAAAATCTCCCTTCGCCTCTACTTAATCGGTGTTTTTACTCCGAGTATCAGGATTATCTAGAAAGTGGGATACGTCTTTTGGGTGGAAGGCCGCTCAGTAGACCAAAATGTACGTGATGATTGCCTCGTTGACCTTCCAAGCGATCTACGCCACACTGGATAGTGACATACTTTAATCGAGTCGCTGTGAGTTTGTGTTGGCCCGTCACCGTGCATTGTCCCACCCCAAACCGGAAATGACCTGGGCATGCCACTGAAACATGGTAGGGCGAGATTGAAATCGATCTGGTGCATTGTACACACTCGAACGCGCGTTAAAATCCTCCACTCGTTAACAGTTTCCAACTGACAGGATAACTTTGTCTCGTTCAGAATTAATGGCCAGGCTGAAATGGCCCTTAGTGTAGTCATTATGAAATTCTCGTCTACGCGAGATCCGAGGCAGCTCACCTTCATAAATGGTTGATTCATGTGGGTTTAGAAACCAGGTCACATTTGTCATAGAGCAAGTTAGATGTGTCAGTGACCCCACCCGCGCTCATCCTCAGTTGTCTTCACTACGTTTTTCTATTTTAACACTATGGGTGTGGGAATAGAGCGAGGTAAATACGGTGCGAGTCCGATTCGCTTTAAACCGTTCCGCACGCAAATCACCACTGCGCTTGACCGGGAACGGCGGTGGTCCTCGTTGCGTGCGTTGGGTGAACCATTAGTTCTTCTACTCAAGCTGTACCTGACACCCACTTCCCATCTGCAGCCCCATTAAGCTCGGTAACCGGCGGGCTAAACCAGGCAAAGGGACTCGTCTTGTGGCACATAAGTGAGGCTTGCGCTAAATCAACCACCGCGCTCACTTTCTTTGCCAGTCGCCCTGCCTTAGTTTTACCGTAACTATGATCAACATGAGACTGCGAAAAGAGGACGCTTATAATGCCTTACAAGTCCTCACCCCAATTTCACACGCAAGTAGCCTCGACACTCAGTTACCTCCAACAGGGATCTATTCTTCTAGGGTCTGTACTTACTTCTGGTGTCTGTGCAAGGGATGGATAAGCTTGTTATCCTCGGTGTCTTCACCGTACGAGTACACACAGACCACGCAATCTGGCAAAGAGCAGCAGCGGCAACTAACTCCTACTACTACGTAAGTCTTGGAATTGTCTGACACTCCTGACGCATTTGCGACGCTGAAAAAAAGTCGACTTCGACTGATCGATTTTGTGTGGGGACTAATGATAAACGCCCGCCAAAACGACTGTTTTGTGGTGACGTGGCGACGTTACGGCTATATCTCGGACGGCTCGCTGAACTGCCTCGGAATAAATAAGGACAACTAAGATGCGCCTGCCGTGGTCTTGGTGCTTTACTGTCATCTCTGCGGCAGCAACTTTCGAAGCCAATCATATAAAAGAGCCCAACGCAGGACGGCAGGCACGCAAAACTGCACTTTTAAGGATCAGCACCTCTATCAACATACGCACACATCAAAAGTGCGTTCAGGTACCAGATTGGCATTTTCGGACATATGCACATCCACTATGTGACAAGAGGCACGAAGTCCTCAAAACCTGCCGCATCTGTTTCTGCTAAATTCAGACGGCGCACTGACTTGTTCGGACATGTGTGCGCATGACAACTATGGCAGTTCCCTCATTAAGGTAACAATATTTGTGGTAGAGTTGCATAGTCGCTGTGCAGCGTATCTTCGGGCCTCGGTATTATTCTCGTTGGAAGGAGATTGTCTTCTTCGACTTCGATGCAATTTTGGATTCGGTTGAGAGGAGTGCACCAGGCAAGCCCATGAATTGTGGCCGTACTACCAATGCGCTCAAACATGTTTTCGGACGTTCGGAGACAAGACAGAGTACTTTGTCGTCATTACGCACGCCCCACAAGGCTTCGTTCTATAACCAGATATTCAGGTTGCAGAATTCCATTACCACCAGTTTCCAGGTAGAGCCAAATCACTTCATCTTAAACTCTTATTATGTTAACGAATTTGATCTGTCAGGCCCTACATACGCCAACTCCGGTGAATTCGGCTGCAGGCTTAACTATGTGAAAATAAAGTAGGCCTCTGCGGCCTCGGCACGCAGGGAATAGTCTACTTCTTCTCTGGGACGTTTGGTGACTGGGGACTGTCGGATTTTCACTTGATCAGAAGGCAGTGTTAGGAGAAAAATGAGACCACGCGGAAGATCTCATCTGTGGCGTCGTGTTTCCGACTCTCTTAATAGACGCCGCCGCTGCCATAGTAAATAATTGATAACTGGACGAGTTTAGTAAGTTTGGGCCGGGGGAAGGGCTTGGTTCGACCGGTCTTTGATGTTGACTAACGAAACCGTCTGAAGAGCAATTTGCTGAGGGTCTACTTTCAGATCACAGGTCACAATGGTTCGGTGTACTATTACCTTAACCAAGCTAACCAAAATTCACTGAAAAGCAGAACAAGTGCAAGCCTCTTTGATTCCTTTATCAACTTCTCAGACCAAATTCTATGTTTCCGACTAAGTGATGGCAAAAACTATCCGCCGACGATGGTGATGAGGAGAAGGAGGGAGAGAGGGAGGATGATAACGACACGGAGATTTTTTTACCAAAAGGTTTCAACTCATCCGCCCGGTCCAAACCTTCCCTACCCATTTTTCGAGAACTATTCCCTGCATAAAATGTCGGCACAAGTATCGGCCCGTGTTCGTCATTATGTTTTATCTTCTTCTCCCCTGTCGTCTCTAAAATCATAGCTGTGCTTCGGATTCTGTGTTCATTTGAAATGTGTCTTTAATTAATTCCCATTTCAAGGATGTACCCGTTTTGTTTTCAGTTTTTCTATTCACAATGTCTGACGAGAGCAGTGACGAGTATTTTGCCAGCGCTGATGAGGGATCAGTCAGCGAAACCGACGAGATTTTGCAATCCAATGCCACGCAGGTAGCTGTGCGCGTTTTATTGATGATTCAGTCATTGAACCAGAAGTTTCCTTTCACCCCGAAATTCCTTCTGCCTCCTTCCAGGCTGTTTTGAAGACTCCTGTTCCCGAGAATGTGACTGCTACACGTCAATTTGAAGCAACCTGTAACACGCGTAGTGCAGTGGAGGAGTGTCCGGGACCGGTATTTTCCTCACCTGTCGACGAACCCACTTGTGATTTGGCCACCTATGCTGTGGCTTCTTCAGTAAAAACGCAGTCAGGCCTGCCTCAAAAGATTGCCAAAGAAGTTTTGGTCGAACCAAAGCACGCGGAGTGTGAACCGTGTGCAGAACCAGGGCCCCCCTCTGACCTCGCCTTCGGAGACACCGAATCTATCGTAGACAGGGGCTTGATAAATTTCGTCGAGACGCTACAACCGACACCATCATGCCTCGAATTCCATGCTTCTGAAGACCCGATTGGTTATATTAAGGACGACAAGGTGACCCCTCGAGAGTCGAACCAGGGAGACAATGAAACGGAAAAGTGTGAAGAACTAATCAAAAATCTTTCAGCTCCTGTTAACATAGTTGATGGGTCACCACTTTCCTGCCCACTAATGCCTATTCCTGATGGTTCAGTTCCTGTCGTTACTGCTGATGGCTTCTCACCCAAACCGTTGGAGCACACTACCAAAGAATTTCTTGCTGCGGATTGCAGCCCAACTCAGCTGGTCACTCTCATGTCTAAGCCGGAAGAACTAAATCGTTCGTTCTGTCAGCAAGAATGCATGCCGAGTCCCTCCGAAGCACCACCAAAAGTGACGTCGGAGAGTTTGAACCAGCACAGTTATGACTCCGACTGGCATGGGTCATACGGATTAGACCTACCAGAGCCACAGAAATCCTACTCTACTGTCGGAGATGAGAGAACCCGCATGACATCTGCAACTTTTCTCGAGACAGAAGAAGTAAGTGCCTGGGATGAGGGTGGTTGGGACGATTCTGAAAAGGTCGCTGATTCTCGAGACTCGTCCGATGCACCAGGATCACATCCAAGTGTCGTTACTGATAGTGGACTCTCTTCCGTTGCGGGTGCTCTGACCCTCTCCTGTAATATGAAACCCTTGGTTGGAGGAACAGACCAGGAAACGCCGACGAGGACTCTAGATGCGACACTTGGCCAACAAGCTTCTAGCACAGTTGAAATTGAGACAGCAGTACCCTCTTGCTCTTCTAGTGACAAGTATTATGCCACAGAAGTTCTCTCAGCTCCTTGCGCAGTGGATGCCGAAGAACATAATCGACCGACGCATCCTACCGACCATCCGGGGTTTACGTTAACCCCAAACAGTAAATGTGGAACGGAGTGCTCTGAGCCGTCAACACAGCAACGTAAAATTACCGTCGCAGACAAGCACGATCTCCGTACAGAGTCAGGCTCCACTATTGACTCAGTACACAAGACCTCGACAGCGAGTCAGGCATCGGACGAAGCGGAAGGCTGGGACTTGAGTTGCGTCTCCGTCCTGTCCTCGCTACCAGCAGCCTCGAAGTCCTCCCTCAGCGGACAAGAAAAAGTTGAGTCCAGCTGTTCTGTTGCATTTAAACAGATTTCTAACGACTGGGATGCTGATTGGATTGACGAGGAAGAGAAAGAAGTTGCGAAGGCCACACCCGACCGGAGCATAACCGATCAAAAGAAAGACAGACTCTTAGAACACTGTGAAGACGGGACCAGGCCCGAGGAAAGCAGCGACGACTGGGATTTCGACGAATGGGATTGCGCAGATAAGACGCCAGAAGTAGTTGCGACGAAGACCACGCCTAAACCAGCCGCCCATTCGCAAATCGCGCAGAAAAATACTGACAGCTCTAACGTACCCGTCCTACCTGAGTACCTCTCAACGGCCGCCACCTCTCTGGTCAAAACTGTCGGCGGGGGATTGGCTAGTTTTGTGGATAACTTCAGTCTCGCCAATCTCTCCGCTACACTTGCAGCCTTCGATGGAGCCCCTCCGCCTGCCCACCAGCCGCTGTGTGCCGACCCCATCCAGGATGATGCCAAACCCCAAGATGAAACAGCACCAATGGAGGATTTGTCTCGCAGTGCCGTCGACGCAGAAACAAAAGTTGCGGTCAACGATGAGGGTTGGGGTTTATCCGGCATGTCCTGGAGTGCTCTCGCAAAGTCATTGTCCTCGACTGTGGAAAATAAGGTAAGCCTGCGTTGATCCCTTCCGTAATAGATCTCTTTAGAATACTCTCGCGCTCATCGTTTTGAAGGTTTGACGTACTTTATGATGGGTTTAAATCTGAATGGCTAGTCTTAGGCCGTCATCTGGTCCTTTATTGGTCCACCAGGTCATGATTAGCATATGTTTGACACGCATTCGGTCGTCGCATCATGGTTTTTTCACTAATTTACGTTTCATTGTATTGAGGCAGTTTCGGTGGAAAACCGTGGATAGAAGCTGTAACTGTTACTGAATGGATGTTTATGATCCAGCTGGGTTTATCACTTTGTAGTATTTCAGTCAACAGGGGAAGGTTCTAAGCGGCAACTGACGTAGTACCACTTAAACTCACCAATATACTCAAACTCTCAACTTGAAAAACATGAAGCAGCCGTCGGTCTCGTCACAATCACCATTGTGTAACAACGAAGATAATGGGCATACCTGGAGTACTTTAGTCACAAACCAGGTCTCAGTTATCAGGAGAGGAGGATGTGGGACACCAAAAGGAAGAATGTTCTCTCCACGGGACCTGCCCTACTGTCTCAGACAGCAGTAACTGCCGGTGAGGACAAGAAGTGTGCTAATACTGTTAGAGCTGAGCGCGTGCGAGTCTGTGTGGTTGACTACCTTTACAGGCTTTTGAGGGCGAAGTTTAGGGCCTTTTGCCCCGAGTGCGTCTTTGTTCTGTCGCCGGTGGCGGTAGTTCGGAGAAACAGGTCTCGCTGAGGGCAGTAATCTTCACCTTGTGACACGTCAGTTCTTAAGCGACTAGCTCCATCCTCCCATGCGTTCAATTGCTTTGCGGATTGCCTAAAAGAGCACGATTGAGGGTTGCTTGTCTGGTTGTTTGGACCGTCAGTTGTACATCTGTGAACCACGGTCAGCATGCAGATGACGAGATCTCAGCATTTGCTTAGGACACCTTTCCTAGCCGTAAACAGTGCCGTCTCTAAATAGGGCTGCTAAAGCATCCCAGACGGCTGCCGAACTCCACTGTGGGTCACGGCATTGTTTACTGGAAGAGCGACCTGAGTTAGCCTAGGCCTGCCTACGGGATTGCATGTCGTCCTCTCCTTAGGACATTTTTCGGGATTAAAGCGGGGAAGAGGAACAGAACTACCGGGTGTGGGGACTCACAACACCCAATATCCTCATCTGGTTTGGCCCGCTATTCGAGGCGGCTACCGGCATGTGGTCGCTAGACAGAGTGCAGCTTCGGAAAGCCACAGATGAGAGTCGAGTGCCAGGTAGGGACAGTGCGGCGCGGCCACCTTCAAGGTGTACCCCCTTATTGAACACCCCTGCACACCATTTCACTAATACACTTCGCCTACACGCAGCCTGAGCGTTTGATACTTGTCTTCTCTGCTACTGAGTAGCAAGCTGTGAAAAATATCAAGTGGAAGGAGTCGTAGAATGTTAACTGTAGTGGTGCAACGGAACAGTGGACAAGGGGCCCAGACTCCAGACTTGACAAATGTTGGTTATTTTGTGAATTTTCTTGTCTTTCCAGGGACGTTGTCCTTAAAGTTTAATTTTATCTATGGGGGCGGCAGAGCCTGGACAAAGGCCTTTTGCTATCAGAAGGCGGAGTTGCAAAATCTTATCGCAACCGCCTAGGCCGTTGTGAGTAGGCAGTCAGCGTATGGGCCCCAATCGATTGGCTGGGACATTTTGCACAACTCGGAAGTCGTCCATGATGTCGAGTTGGTGATCCATACCCACCGGATAGTCCAAGATAACCATTAGGATTTCCGCTCAGCCAACTCGGCTCAACAGGAATAATTCAAATGCGCGCCACGCCTTGGTGGAATTCATCAAGGCAGGCTGCCTATACCGTCCTGATAAGGAAGTCGACTACCTGACCCCATGTGTGGTATGCGTATGCAGTCGCCTAAGTCCTAGTTCGCCCGTTGGGTCCCCGAAATGGAAGTCGGAGGGAGAGGTAGCTTCATACTTCGCTCACAGAAGTCCCCTTTTCGGAATTTATGGTTGCCATTGCCTCGGGTGTTCCACACTTCGGGGTTGGGTATGACTGGGAGGGAAGTACCGACAGAGGCAAAAGATACCGGTCTGACCATTTCCGGTTTATTAGCCGTCGACAGCCGGCCATAGCCAATCGTTTGTCCGGATGACCCGGGATTCGAACCTAGGTTCTTTGTTTTTCAAGCGTTAAGGCATATGACGCTGCACCAATGAATTACAAGCTCGTTGTCCTGTCGGCTTTATAGTAATCACCAAACTACTGTACTAGTGAAAGTTATATATATATATATATTGTGAGAGGGCATTCATTGATCGGGTTACGGGACGCGCCCGTCCCGTTGCGCCTTGGAACTCAATCTAGAGCCATTTCAGGCAGTCGCGCATAGCGACAGATAATTGTGCTGGAAAAAGTACCGACAAAGACAAGAGAGACCGAATTCATCATTTCTGGTCTACTAGCCGTCGCCAGTCAGCCATACCCCGGGTTTGCAGAACCCGCAATTTGAACCCGTATTCCTTTGTCATCGAGCCTTCTTAAACCCAACGTCCTTGCATTGAGCCACGGCCTCGCTGTGCGACCGCCTGCAAGGGTTCTAGATTTGGTCTCAAGGCACAAGGGGACGAACGTGTCCCGTAACCTCATCGACGAACAAAGCAATCACTCAAACAATATGAAACTCTGAAATCAAAATTTAATTTCTCAGCATTGTCACGGCATTTTTTTCCCAGTAACCCTCCTTAAAAGTCCGATGAATGGGTTCTATTTAGCTCGTGTTTATGCGTAATAACATTCATCTTGAAACTGAGGTCATTTTCATCTCGCCAATACTGCCGATGGCATAAGAAACTTGTATTATAATTTTACCACAGTGGTACTGGATGCTCTCGGACATTAAATTTTGGCCATATGCGTGGGACTTAAGGTCACGCATTTGGTTGCCCATAGCTAACTGTTCGGTCAGGTTGTTTCCCTAAACCAGACTTGTCGTTCGTTTCTTTTGGTAAAAATTGTCGAGAGAAACTCCTTTTGGGTGATAATCCAGGCGCTTCTCTGAACACAGTACTTTTCTTGTATTTTAGGGAATGCAGCTGCTGCAGGGTGGTGTTGATGTGCTTGAGACGATCGGCAAGAAAACGTTTACTGCATTGAAGGAAACTGATCCTGGCCTGTCCTACACCAAAAAGTTCCTTCTTACCCCCAAGAGCAGCCAAACTACCCGGCTTTCTCAGGTAGTTTTCTTAGTCGACTTAGATGTTTCGTTAACGACGTACTCCATCGAGTGTTTGAAAAGTGCTCTCTTGGTGTTTTCAGTTTTTTTCTGTTTATATTTTCTTTTTCAGAGTATGTGGCATCTTTACCCCCGGATTCTTTTGCTTCTCGTCAAATGAAGTTTCCAATGGAATCAGTATTTAGACTTCTATGTAGCTAATTAGAAAGGGAGGTTTTCAAAGGCATCACCTTTTCCTGAGATACACCAAACAGAGTTGAGTTGAAGGAATGCACATCGTATGATGAAAACAGGATCGATTAACTGGATTCACAGGTGCCGTGTCAATGCGTAGCATAGATAAAGAAATGAAACTAGGAATATTTTGAATTGGTTTAAAATATCGATACAAGAATCCACAAGGTAACAATTCCACCAACACGAAAGGTACACAAGAAAGAAAGTGAAGGAGCATGTCTTTGACTCGCATGCGAATTAGGGATGAGCTAAAGAACTGTGAATTACCATCACCAAGCGAGATTTATGGCGTAATTCGGGTGTTTTTACAAGTCTACTTTGAGACTTGGAGTGTTTTCCGCCTCCAAGTAGCGCTGTATCAGAGTCCGTCGATAGCGAATGAGTGCGAGTTTTGGGCCAGCAGGATGCATGCTGTCCTGGAGGGTTTGTGATTTGACTTCCCCTTCTGAGACATTATGTCGTGAGCTCAATCCAAATATCTGCTAATTTATTACCTCTGTGTTTTTACAGTATTCATGTGCCAGCAAGTATCTGTTAAATGCCAGTTCACAGCAAGAAGAGGCGTGCGAGTACGTTTGTTTCTTCCTTGTTTCGGTATACATGACTTTCGTATAACAGGCGGGCAGGTTTTTACAGTGATACAAACGGTACTCCTAAATCGTTGCCCCCTTCTCAGTGAACAACTGGCTGATTGTTCTTGCACTCTTTGCCGTGAAAGATTGCAGGACTTGTGAATGGATTTTTCTGTGCGACTGTTCCTATGAGGGCTATTCTATGAAAGTCAATTTCGGTACTGCTCCTTACCTCCTTCCAATGAGCGTAGACGGGGTCTCGTTTTAGTTTTATTGGTATTTAGCTCATTAGGCTTAAACGGTGAAAAGCTGAGTTTCTGATAAGACCATTTGCCGCTCTTTATGTGAAGTCACGCAGGGGTGATAGTGTGTTATCCTGTTCCCGTTCTCTTGTGAATTCTGTCCCTTTCTGTGATCTGTTCGTCCTGCCAAACAAATTACTGTCATCCTTTTGTTTGTTAACGCCTGCAAACACATCTTCGGCGTGCTTCTCATGCATTGTTGTCGATTGCAGTCTGGGCGGCACCTTCTTTTCTCAAACTACAATTGCCAATTCTCATGACGTCTTGGAATTAGGGCTTAAAAAGGTAAAGCACGTTTGCTGCGAGGCAAAGCTATACCATCGATATACCGAACTTTCGCCTTGTGTTCGGAATCCGAGGTTATCGCAGGCACGCCTGCCAGGCTTATGAATTATTCATTATTTGTCTGGCAAAAGTACACAAAGCCATAAATGCATTTGGGCCTCTCCGTCTCCTTACGAGATACTCGAGCCTTTTACCTGGCAAAATAGTTGTACCAACGGCCCCGTTTTCCACCAAGAACTTGGAAAGGACGGTGGCATTCGAAGTCATTTCCCCATAGGTGCCTGAGGAACTCAACCTGTGAAAATTAGAAGTTCTGGCTCCATTGACAACAGGAATCCTGAAAGCCATTGGGATTGGTGTGGTTCACAAACGGGCATTCCTCAGAGAGCAAATAATGAGGCCAAAAAGCACGCTGCTGAGCATGTGGCGACCACTGTGTTCGTTATCAAGCACTTCTAGGGGCACATAGTTCGGCAAACAAGTCACCTCACTGGCGAAAGCGGACCAGGATGCCCTAAGGGCAAAGGAGTATCCTCATACTACCAACAGACAAAGAGCGTTCCACAGCACTCTACAAGATTGCAGGTCTGTACCACCTCAAACGAGATTAGGCCTTCTGACTCTGACACCCATGGCGCGCAAGGGGTCACGTGATCACGATTCCCGAGCGCCAGGACGTGAGCACATTAAGCCCCAAGGATAGCCAATCACTGGCGCCAAAAAACTCCACCATCACCCGATCAACTGACCAGGTTAACACCAACTCTCACGTGACGCTTACTTGCTCACGCCCACGACCCAGAGCCGGCCCCGCGTCGGGGGCTCTGACAGCCACTAGGCTCCTATACAGAATATACTACTGCTGGTCTTTCCCTCTCTCCTCTAGAGCGGGACTGGGTCGTGATTATTGTGGCTCTCTGAGTACACTCTCACTGCGTAGGCGCCCTGTTTGAACACCGCCAATCATATCTACAACGTGATGGAGAGAGACCCAGTCAAGAATCTGGTGACGCAGCTGAACACAACGCTCACCGGGTTACAGAAGAACGATGCGATGACAGAGGCGTCAAACCAGCCGACATGGCCATGACAAGACCCTATGGACTGCCAAAAAGATCGAAAGGGGCTGCTCTGCTCTGACCCATCGCATCTTATCGCAGGATGCCTACATTTAACCTGGCGAAATGGTTGTGTTGATGCGTGAACTGCCTTCCATTAGGCTTCGGTACAACGGTCAATAAATTTATTGGAATGACCTGGTGGGTTACAACTTAACACAAATGGGATCATGGCATCATTTAGCATTATCTCACTCGTCACTTCGACCCCACAGAACCTGGCCAATATAACAGGACGAGCAAGATGCCTGGACGGAAAAACCTGATCCAGCTGCTCTCATTCTGCTTCAAGACGTATTTCACCTTTGGACGGACAGTGCGTACAAACCATAGGCGCTCCGATAAGGTCGCCGTTATCTGATTCTGTCGTTGAGACGGTTCTCCGAAACCTGGAAACATTGGTGTTCTCAACTTATAAGCCACTTTTTGTGCTGTATGTGAACGGTGGCGTCGTGGTCCATAACCTGGAAGTGGTTTCGGAATTCCATGCGCACCTAAACCGATATTTCCCTGAATCCAGTTTCCACTAGAGGCAGAAAACAGCAGCCAAGTATCGCGCATAGACGTCCTGGTTCACCCTAAGGTAACCAGGAAGGCCAGCATGAAGTTTCCGCCTGCAGTTCTCCCTTAACACAGGGTCATACTGTTTGTGTCATTCGTCATCTTTTGTTACCATTATTATAATCCATCTGACCCAACTGTGAAAAGCGCGGCGGCGTCGGTGGGATTAGAACCCACTACAGACTGGACAAAGCTTGAGTGCAGCCAGTGATCTAAATACTTGAACTACGAGGCCCAGCCGGGAGTCGTGTGTTTAATCACGTTTGGGTCAAGTTACCCGCCCGGACTACTGCAACGTTCGGAATCCACCAGTTCCGGTATATTAAACTGACTGTCCAAACAGGGTTGCCTAAGCAGCTAGTGCAGAATTCACTAGATCCATTTACTGTGGCCTCTTATTACTCACCTATTAATTATTATTGTATCAGTATCAATCGAGAAATGTTTTGCCATCCACAGTTCCTGATGTTTTGACTGTCAATGAGATTTATTTGCAAAAACGAAGAGGTTGTGCGTTCTTGTAAATTTTCCTGCAAATTATGTGTAAATTTAACGAATCCATGTCATGCCTCGTTAGATCACGTGACAGTGTCATTGCCGCTATTTGCGGTAACGGTTGCGCACGATCTTTCTCTATATTCAACTTTGATGGTACTCGTAGGCGTTTCTTGCATGTATGCATAAGTTGCATTATTACGGCATCAGGTGATTCGCGTGAATACGTTCTGTTCTATAGACAAGCTACGTGCGCACAGTGAGCACTAAGATGCATCTTCCCGCCAATACACACTTATTATCGGTATCGTGGGACTAATGCTTTTGCTCGACCAATAATACACGGACTCTGGATCAGTTACGACGAGTGTCTGCTCTGTCCTCTTTGTGCTGATCGACTTTTATTGGTGAAAAGTAGATAGCTCACATATCTGCTCTTTCCCGCGTCCGGCCTCCCTCTTATTCCCAGGTGTAGAAATCGGTCCCGACTGTCCGAGTATTTCGCCTTGCCCTGTGTGGCATGATTATGGTCTCGTTCTGTTTCCGTCACTGGCGCGGACGTAATATCGGCTTTAGGGTAAAAAGCAGTATCTGCCATACCTGCCTTTATCCTGTGCCTTGCAAGCTCCTGCCCTCCCTGCCGAAATTGAAAGGCGTTCGCCTACCTTCCCTTGACTTAGGCTGAACTGGATTGAAATTACCCACAAGCTAGCACTCCATGACCGAAAGTGTCAGCGTTATGCCCGTAAATTAACGCGACTGCCCTAATAGAGTAGTTAATAGGTTACCAACTAACGGTACAACTCAAACTCCGCAGCCAGTCCTGTGCGAGGAGTGCACGAATGTGGGACACTGTGTAGGGTACTCGATGACTTCTACGACGAAAACCAAAGCCCTTTTTATATAGAACGCGTAACGAAATTGTTCGGCTTTTACCATTTACTTTCTTTGCATTGTCGGACGAGTTCCACGAAGGAATCCCACGGATTCTTCAATGTCCGAACTACCTTCAGAGCCGGTATTGGAATAATTTATGATTTAAACTTTCAGCAACGCGAACCAGTGTTTTGGCGTCCATATGCTGATGACGCTCTCTTGTGAACCCCCGTGCCACGATTTACCTTATTTGTCTCGATATGAAACCAACAATGGAGAATCTGACTGCCGGATGGCGACCTGGCAACAGTCGAGCGCAAAAGAACCACAAGCTACCTGTTAGCGCACAAAAAGTGCGTTAGGACCCTGTGCCATGGTTGACATTTTTTGTCTCGATATGAAATCAACAATGGAGAAAGAATCAGACCGGAGACTTCTATTCATTGATTCTACTGTCGGCAGACTGCCGGATGGCGATCTGGTAACAGTCGAGTGCAAAAGAACCACAAGCCACCTGCCAACGCACAAAAAGTGCGTGAGGACCCCGTGCAAAGGAAGATGCGTACATTGCAGCATGCTGGAAGGAAAACTTGACAAAACCCGTTATTTTTGTGATTGTGTTCTTATCACACCGGACGCTTACGGTCCCGCCAAAAGAGAGTAACAAATGACAGGCTTAAAACAGGAGTTCGGGTGGGACATGCACTGTCTTCCGCTAGAGGCCACGGAAACTATCTTTCGTGGTCCGAATATCGACGTCGCACCGACCGGTGGGCACAATTCTCATCCACCTCATGCGCGTCAGGGACCTATTAAGCCTGAAAGAGCGGCTGAATGCTATCTGCCGCGCTCCTTGCGCCAACTATCCCTCAGGTTATATTGGTCAAACTGTACGGGCTGTACGAACCACCTCACCTAGGCACTAGAGGGCAGTCACTATTACCGTGGCTTCTAACTACTAGGAGCAAGATCCTGTCCTCCATTCTGTGCCTTATCAATAGTCAGTATGGTCGCGCGTGGTGGTCAAGAAGGGGTAATGAAGTCGATTATTGTTAAACAGACGCGCCTAGCTCGCACTTCCACACCAAGCGCTAACACAGCCGATCTGTAAACTTCGTTTGCGTTTATACGCGAAATCCAGGCAAAGCCAGTAGAGGTGGCTCTGGGTAACTGCATTCGCCGTTTTAATAGACCCACTTAATAATCCGTCCCCGCACCTTCAGGCGAGTTTGGCTACGGGTCTGGCTCCGCCCTATCCGGATTCTCACCAAATCTGACCCCATAAGAACTCTCTTCTTTTTCACGAGCTCCACCTCGGTGGTCACTCTTCCACCATCAACATCAGCCCTTTCTGCCCGCCGAATGCAATGAGAATTGGTCATAGTGTTTATTTTGAGGGGCAGCGTATCGTGTCTTTTGTCGTAACCCTGCTTTGACAAACGCTTTTGCGTTACCGACTAAGTAGTTCAAAGTTCTTTTTGTAGAGCCCGCGTAACTGAGTTGCACTCAGCAATTCCGCGAGCGAGCATCATGCATACCCCCCAAAACTTTCACCCCGCCCTTCTGCAGTCTAAACAGACATCTACCCAAGGTGGAAGGCATCATTCTGACAAAGGGGTGTAACTCGGCCTCTTTCGGGCTCTTCCACAGACCTATTTCATTAAACTGCTAGACAAGCAGAATTTTTCACTCCCAAAGTGGCTGCTGTTTCTCCAGATTTCCCTAGTTTTTCATGATATTTCTTGCTCACTTCCCGCATTTTCGCAAACAGGTCCTTCGAGAGGCCAGCCGACAACATCAGGAAAACCTGGACGAAGGCCCAACAAGGGGGCTCGAGAGCAATGCACAGCAGCGTCGGGGTGATTTTGCTTACCAGCTTGAGGTCAGGCACGCTCTTGTGCACATGGAGGCCCTCGAGTTGGTCTCCACTCGTGCTTCGGCCCATCTACACGCCAAGATCACAAGTCTGGAGGATCGTGAGTTACCAGGGCGCACCGCCACGGGAAAGGACATGAGCATTTCCAGCCTCACCAACGACGGTGGTATACTGGACAAGATTTGGCAGACCCTGCAGACAGCAGCTGTGAGCCAGACGGAGGAGGACGAGAGTCATCTGGAAGGGGATTGTTTGGTAGAAAACATCGTGGCTAACCTGGATCTGCTCAACTCGATTTGTCCAGCTGCGGCTATCCAGCAGGTGAAAAACCACCACCCAACTGCTTTTCGTGTCTACCTCTACCTCCTCTTTTTTATCGTGGTTAGCAGTCGTCACAACAGACGAACCAGACTGTTATGATGAAATATGAAGCAGTAACTAGTCCCAAACAGAACTCTATGGAACCCAGTTGTTATTTTCGGCAGTAACCCAGCGTCAGAGTGTTCATGCACCTGACGTGCCGGTGACTGGATGATTTGTCAGTACTATGTCCCTTAAAGAACCTCGGTTGCATTAGCCACCTGTGGAGTTTACTACGATGCCTACCTTTTTGTTCGACAATGCCCCAGTTTAGAGTAGTATGCGTCTCAAACTGTCTGTTATCTCTGCTATCTCCCGCCCCTTTGATCAAACATTGCCTAAATTAGTAGTACTAATATGCGAACCTTTTCAGCCACTGTCTGCGTGTAGTCAACTACTTTTTGGGCTCAGTATATATGTTAAGTCGCCAAAATATGCGGCGTCGTCGCTCCAAAGCTTGACGAGGCAGAACTTGTTTGGCGAATTCTGGGTCAGTCTTTGCGCCTTGGCCTTGTCTTGTTGCCAGAAAGTGCTCGGTGTAGGTGGAGGGAGTGAGATCGATGCCGCGCAAGTGTGCCTTATTATAATCCGATTCATATGCACGTCCCGTGCCGATTGTACAGTCTGTGGGCGTCGCTGCGTTTGACGGACGGACTGCCGTCGCCCTTAGCCCGAAATGTGTGTATTTCCTAGTGGTGTAGCTTTGTCTAAATTATCAGAATGATGCTTTCATGTAGTGGACCAACCACTGCGGAGATTTCTCAAATACATCAGTAACAAGGTGGTTTTCACCATTATTTCCTGTCGTTGCGTCGGCATTTCACCGCTGATCTACCAGGGTGCAAGTCTTGGTTTCTTTCGAAGTTTAATGCCAGGAAGTTACCTAGTTCAGTGTAGCTTAGCCGTACTAAGCATATAGGAATGCGTGCATTGGATCACCTACTTGTCAACTTTCAGCTCGTCTCTCGGCGTCCGATGGCTTCATTTAACTCGTACTGGGGTGGGGTCTAATTCACCCCTCTTCCAGCCTCATAAAGGGCAGTCGCATAGTTGAAATTAACCCGGCACAAGCCTCACGTGTCGTTCTGCTCAGCTGCAGGACCGCGTGAGCCCTGATATTGAGTGTTTTTCTTTTCACTCTCGGACTGCCAACTACTACTTTGTTTGCGTTTCACCGCTGTTCTTCTTCGCTTTGCTTCTAGAAGTACAAGCAACTACGTGAGCGGTTGAAGAATCCCGCGGACACTTCGTCTGCAACAGTACGTCAGTCTTGTTTTCCATTTGGCGGCCTAGTATGCAATCGCAGTCATTATATTGTAACCTTTGTTTGTATTTCTTACTGTCGCCTTGAAGGATGTCTTCTGTGTTGCGATTGATTCGCTGGCGGAGGCTACTACAGCTATGCTCACGTATTTGCACAAGCTCGCCGAATGTCTGCTCTCCAGACCCGAGAAAGTGCGAGACGGGTTCCTCGACTTGGCTCAAAAGATCACCATGTGAGTTATGCGAGCTTCTCATGCTACCTTTTCTTATCAGTAGTGCTGGTATATGCAGGCTAAATGTGCGCGTCGTCGGTCAAACATATCCCCCTCACTATACATATTCGCAACACCTTCCCATCGGTTTTTAGGACAGTCGCAGCTTGACTCCACTACATTTCCTCTGTTTCAGTAGGCATCATTACCCCGTAAACCCCCTGCTCACCGAACTTAATGTCGCGAACTGTGTGTGTGAATAGCCATTAGTTCCTAAAGTCGAGTTTTAAGTTGCAACTGACTCGAACTCAATCACTGGCGCAAGGGGCTTATCCGCCTCCCGTTTCAGCCTCATGGTCGAACCTAAGCCTTCTTCAGAACATTCCAGGGTTTATAACCTAGCAAGAGCCTGACACTTCGGCGGCTACAGAGGTAGACTGACAGATACACAGTGAGGCCGTGCATACAGCCGTTTCAGACTCAGACGTCCTCTTCAGCCACTCCTGCTCATGGTCAGCGACTTTGTGGGCACTTTGGATTGTGTGTGCCCACCGACATTTGGTCTGACGAGCTTATTTGAATAGCAACTATTCCTAGATTTCTTTGAATTTATTGAAACTGGCACCATGCTTTCTTGCACCGTTCGGCGTGCGTTCAAGGCACGATATCCGAAGTTGTGTAATCTGGTGCACTGCTCTCGGCAGTACGCGCATAATACCCTCGCAAAGGTGTGGTTTAACTGATTTCCGTGCTTTTCTTTTAGTATAATCCAGGCCGGGAAGAAGTACAACGAATCCCTATGCTTGGAGTATGTTAAACTGCTAAAGCAGGTAAATTCCAATTTCATGATTCTTTTTTCAGACTACCTTTTTGGCGGCATTGCTGAATGGTTGAAAGACTCGGCGACTTTAAATAACCAGCAGTCATGAACACATGTCAAGTGTTCATGGATTAATCCATTTTTGCATATTTGTGGCGTCTAAGTAGTGGGTGTACACGGGGCACCACAGTAATCACAGCCAAATCCCGTTTTGGAAGAGAAAGGAGAAGGCACTATGAGAAGAAAGCCAGTGGCTGGTCAGAGCCGCCGACGCGCAGTCGACTTTGGGTCCGTGCGCCTTTGTCCGCTAGGATGATACGGGCGTGAATGCGCAAGCTTCCTGTCCGAGTCAGCGTGAGCTTGGTGAGCTGATTTGGCGGTTTCGGAGTTTGCGGCCGCCTGTGATTGGTTATCCTAGAGGCTGTATTTGTGCATGTTTTGGCCACTCGGGAACCGTGATTCCTATCGCGACGTAGGTGCGAGAGGCGGAAGATTTATACGCACTTGAGGCACCACTTATTCACCTTGCTTTTGTAGATAGGACTGTCGAAACCACTTTTGGCTCATGTTTTCTGATATTTATACTGGCTTCCACATCGCCCACCTGTATGCCGAAAAAAGTGCGCATACTTGAAGGCTGAGTCTCACTACAAACGGTGGTGTTTTAAATGCAGCCACCACCCCCCCCCCTCCCCAGGACGTTTTCTTGCTTTGGAACTGGACAATAAATGTCTGGTCAGCTGAGGCTGCATTTCTTTTCCTGCCTACTCGCGACAGTTAATGGCACTGTTTGCAGACGATGCCCGCACGTCCGTTAAGGAAATAAGGATCCCACGTTAGCCACTCAGTTGGACAGTTAGATTTGCGTTTTCTGGTGTTTTTGGCAGGTTTGAATAACTCATTTGACCCATTTGAGAGAAACTCGGCGGTCTTGGTGGGATTAGAACCCACCACAGCAGGGGCGAGGTTTGAGTACGGCCAACATTCTAACCGCCTGAGCTACGAGGTCCCACCAGGAGCCGTGGGTTTAATCACACTTATGTTAAGTTAACTGCCCAGCCTACTGCAACGTCTGGAATCCACCAATTCTCAAGGAGTAAGCAGGGTTTCACAAGCAATCTAGAATCTACCAGATGACCAGCAAGGTCACGTACACACTTCTTATTACTCACCTAGTAATTCTTATGCCTATTGTATCTTTGTCGATCAGGAAGTGTTTTAACCGTCCACAGTTTATGATGCAATGATAGAGTGGCGCGCACCGGTCGGGTTTACGGAACTCACTCGTCCTGTTGTGCCTTGGGGCTCTACCTCGAACCCCACCAACAGCCGCTCAGCGGCGCGTGATATAGCCAGAATAACGTTACCGATAAAGACAAGGGGGGCTGGGATGGCTGCTTCTGGTTTATTAGTCGTCATCAGCTTCCTGGTGGGGCCTCGTAGCTCAAGTGGTTCTAGTGTTCGCTGTACTCAAGCCTTGCCCTTGCTGCAGTGGATTCTAATCCCGCCGAGGCCCCTGTGTTTCTCATAAACGGGTCAAATGAATTAATTATGCATTCTTCACATGTTTTTGACCGGACTGCTTAGATATTTTTTCACCGAAGAATAACATTCTATCCTCTCTTCAGCAATGAATCACCTTATCACATACTCTTCTACTTTCCTCGGCAGGCGTAGACTGCGAAGCCCAGTACCTGAGTTTTGTCTCCATCCTGACAATAGAATTAGTGGGCAATTTACTACTTATCTCCAAGAAACGTTGGGCTCATCCGAAAAGCAGATTAAAATTTACCACCACTGAACTCTGTTTGGCAGGTTTTCTATGAATCCTTTGGAAGTTTCGGACTGATATTGAGAATGTCTGCAGTTACCTTCATGACATCGCGTGCAACACCTGCAGTTAAGTATGGCCGACCTGATGAGCCCGTTTTCCCTTATTCTTCGAGGGTTCGTCGGCAACTTGTTCGTAGCACTTGTCAGTCTATCCCCTCAACCGCTTTCTGATTTCGCGGTTTGCACAAGGTACTTGCTGTGTTGTGCCCTGATTGGAAGTTGCTTTCAGGCGCACTCGTGATGTCGCAAATGACGGGCGCATGAAAACGTTCTACGAATTGCTAGCCTCTATCGCAGTCCCTCGGATCCGCCGGCACAGTCGTGATAATGTTGAGAAGGGGGGAACAAACATAACGGTCACATACGAGTAGCATTTGCTGGTTCGGGGACTAAGACAGGCCTCTCATTTTGCCTTGGATTTCCGGACTGTGGGGCGGGGTGCAGCTGGCCAGCAATGCCAAGCGAGCTACAGATGGTCATTTTGTCTTCCCTGCCTTCGTCATTGATGCTTTTATGGCGGAGATGAGGCTGTCCAACGGATTTGAGAGTGAAGCCAGACTTTTCACATGGAGCTTTTAGCCATCAGTAGAGACTGTGCAGATCAATTTAAAAGTATTTCATCAGAATGCGCTTGCGTCGGCATCAAAATTGCGTTGCGTCTTGTGTGGGAATTAAGTCACTAGACGTGTGCCCGTCGTTCTTTAACATACTTTCCGTCATTTCCTGCGCCATAGAATGAAAGTGAAACTCCCCGCCAGATCGCTGGTCCATCTGTCCCTGATGAGGTCACGCCGCCCATCTCCTCCAAACGGCATATGGCCAATCTCTTCCTCGAGACAGGCGCAGCTAACGACTACCTTGGGAGTGCCTCTGGCTGCTTTGTCCCCATAGTCCAGCTCCTCTGCGTAAACTCATTCTTCCCCAATACCCCCTCCTGAAGGCCAAGAGGACTAGGAGTCTCTATCATTACGATGTTTGCGAAGATTATCTTGTGAAGTACCTCCGCCTCCATCGGCGCTCGTAGGTTACTTCCCCCTCGCCCTCATTTCCAAGTCTTTCCTGCATTTCATCTTTTTCTTGAGCCTTACCATTAACTTCTGTGACTGCACCCCAGTTTTCCCCATTTAACGTTCCTTCTGTCCTGGCAAGCAGCTACGATTTCTCTCCTATTTGCAACTGTATCTTGAATTTCCGTTCTTCTCACTTAACTGCCTTTCGGGACCGGTCGTTGATAATAATCACTCCTATAGCGGCCCCACATGTCTGAGCCAACTGATTACTCACTAGGTGCACTTCCTGGTCGGAGATCACGGTTAAGAGTTCGGGAATTTGCGCAGACGCCCTAGACTACGTGCGAGATGTCGAATTGGAAACCGAGCGGCAGCCCAGTTTGAAATCCCCTCCACCTAACCACGGGCATTGTAATACGACTGGTGCTTTTGCGGCGTAATATTTATGGCGCGCTTGAATACATAATGACGTACAGTACATATGTCCCAAGACTAGGAAAACTGGCTGACATCCCTAAATATGCCTTAAGTGCAAGTACTTACACAACGCACCGTGTCAACTTTCAGTCGGGTGTCCTCCTACCAACCCGTCCTGTTCACATTTGCTCAGATGTTGCCACTTATACAGTAAGTAGATCCTGGTCCACAGAGTCATCTGTTAACTTCGGCAACTGTTTACTCGGAACATGCTGGGAAACAGATCTCAAATTTATCCCGCACTTACTCCAAATACTAAGGCGCACACTTGGGACAGTGTTGTGGGAGTAGTTTGTACTAGGGAAAGGATGAAACTGACTACCGAATGCAAGTACACTCAACCTTTGTAAACAGGGCAACCCCTGCGAGACTCATGGTTGCGATAATGGATCGGCTGAGAGGATGCACTTTTGGTGCTAAGACCCCGACAAGGTCAGATGGCGTGGCAAAAGCGGGTCAGGGAGCCAGCCCCTTACGCGTGACCACTAATCGTCATCAGCACAACCGTTGGAATACTTTTATGCGGCCGATATGCGCATGTGTGCCGCACTGACAGTCCCAGCTTAAATGATTACGAAATTAGCACGTGGGCTGGTGGGTGGTCCTCGCCTTGCGCTACCAACTCGAAAGGAACTGCCGGCGCACCTGATGGCTTCAGGCAGTTTGGGCTACTGTTCAATACAACGGATGTTTCGTAGCACGACGCACCCCACTTAACTGGAATTTGTCGTACTTACAACTTGCGCTTCGATCCTAGTACGGTCGACCATTTTCCTCAAGGAATGAGAAGCAATTCATCTTGAAGTCTGGTAGGACGTCTCGGATTAATATGGTGTAGAAACGCTGCGAGCCGTGGTCAGCTTTATGCTTATTAAGCATCCTCAGGTTCCTCCGCCTCGGCAAAATTACGTCGCGGAAACCCCTCATACAATCAGTGGAAACACGAGGACATTTTCCGTGTTACAAAAAGACATGAGTTACGGAATATTCCCAACGTCAGAGGGATGGCTTCCCACAAACCGATTTGGACCTGATGTTGCCGACAAGCGCTTATAGGACAAACGAATGACTTCGAGGAGCTACGTTGAGATAGACCCCCACCCTGTAATGACCGTTTTACTGAAGTCGGTCTGACGTCTTACTCGTGCGGTATCACCCACTTCTCTCGAGCGACAGGCCCGAAACGGGTCTTCGAAGCAAGAAAACGTCCGTATTTAGCGGAGTACAGCAAGCCAATTGCCTGAGAGGAACCATTTCTGCTGGTTACACTGGACGCGATGTGCCCCAACTAACCTGCGCAGGTTTATAGGGATTCCGTACGTAGTATCGGCTCAAAGCTCGGCCGTTTTTTCTGGGGTCTGTCGAAGTACTATGGGCGTCCTTGCCATCTTCCACAATAGGCCACTTCCCCATTGTCACGGTCACCTAACACGTTGAATCTTGTAGACATTACAGGACTTGCCCTGCAATGCAGAACATTTTTGTGTGAGGCTCTTCAAAACACTTGACTACAACCGGTCTGCTTTTAGTGACAAAGGCATGATTCACAAGTAGTACGTCGAGGGGAACGCTCTCCAACCAAAGGCCTCTTCCCGAACTGGCCCAATCAGGATGACGAATGGAAGTAAACGGCAACTCGATAAAATATGGAACTCGAAGCATCCGCAAGAAGAACAGTTTCTCCCTGGAATGCGTCCAGAAGTCACGAGTGCCTGTATGTCGAGCAATGAGTGCTGGTAGGACGCGACGCCTCTGAGTGGAGTGTAAGAGTGACGATAAAATCTCTAAGCATTTGCAAAAAGACGTCGGGTGGCAGATGCGTTTATTGAATGATGGCGATGTCGTAGTGACAGAGCTGGCGAAAAAAAAGAGCTTGAAAATAAAAACTTGAAAGGAAAGAAGAAGGGGCATGGGTGGTTATTATACAAAATCTGCTTAGAGCTAGAAGAGTGGAATGGGACAGAGGAGCATGGTACAGATGGCTACTTTATTACCGTCGCTTCTTCCGACGGCGTGCCTTCGCGGGACCTTCACCAATGCTGATCTGGCCGCCGGCGATTTCCTCACTCGTCAGCTTGAGATATTGAAGGAGGATAAGGGAATAATATTGGATGGGTTTGAAAGAGAGTAGACACAATTGAACACTGTGTAGTCGAAGCCATGTATTTCGCGCATTTCAAATTTTCAAAAAATACAAATGGCTGATTGGCAACCACCTGAAAACGCCCCCGTGCACTGTGTGTGCCCTCCCGCCAACGTAAGGTGCGAAATGGCAGATTTGAAAAAAACGAAAATCACTGAATCCGTATTTACAAAGTTACTGTCAAGGCCCTGCTACGGATAATTACGTCCAGTATTAATTGACCTCAGCGTAGGGAACCAACCCCAGAAGACGACAACCTAACAGCAATGCGCTGGAGACTCGGAGGAACGAACGAAGGGAAAGGAATTACACAGACCGGTGAGGGAGATCGGCGATGGCTTGGAAGTCTCGCCCAGTTGCTGGGCGGCGAACATACCACCTAAATAGCAGCATTTACTCACTCAAGTCTGACTAGTCTTTCCGCCCACATCGTATATAGCATATAAATAGCTGGCCCTGCTGCCTTCGGTTGACAGGCCACACTGCCATCCGCCGAGTGACGACAGTATCGCTGTATGCTGCGTTTGCAGATAGGCAACTGATAGCAGCATAAATTTCCACAATAACGCATATAATTCTACAGCACAGGTGGCTTGAATTAAAGATTTTTCGGCCGAAACTAGCGCGCTGACAGCATGGAAGTCTTAACAAATTCGGTGAATTGAATCTAGCAGAGAGGCAAATGTCTCACATAGTACGAATTTGTTTTGAGAAAAGACAGTGCATAGGTAAGAAATGACACCGAGCTTGGAAGAAGGAGAAGTCCCACTTTGTATCATCGCTACTCAGATTCAGACTGTTATCACCGTTCTAATCTACGCATAATGCAATTTACATCGGTCGCTTGCAGGACACGGCTGGATTGTGTGTGGTTGTTGTCCATAAAGGATTAAGTAGCCACGCACAAACAGGTAATGGATCCTCAGACCTGCCGAACCAGGCTTCACGGACAGGTAGTCCAGAACAGACACCAGGCGTTCTTTGGGTCGGACGTCGCTGTGCATTCATTTTATGAACCAAGTACGCACGCATAATCAAAATAATCCATTTCCTGCTTCATGTCCCAGGTACGATCTGTTAAACAGATCGTTAGTTATCGGGCGCGTAGATGTCGCGACTGTTACAAACGCCTGGTCGTCCCCTAGCGAGGACCCGCTTGCTGCTTTTAACATAGGTCATCTACCACCTACTACAGTTTCCAAGCTAACAGCGACGTACCTCTCCGCGTTCCCCAACCTCGGTAAGCTTATCTCGCATCTCGAAGTTGAGCAGCAGATCGCGAACCTCCTCTTGAGCCTGTTGGGCGGCCAGCTCCGCCTTCTTGGCACGCTCTTCCCACAGAATCTGACTCTTCGACAGACTTAATGTGAGGGCCTTTTCCTCCGAGAGTTGGGACTGCAGTTTCTGTGCCAGCGCGTTCGCCTGAAGGAGAGTATAAATTACATAGTAGTAAGGGCGAGTGAAAGAAGACTGATGAGTGAGGACAATGGACTTGACGTTTCGCAGTTAAACTCAGGAGGATCATCGTATACTGAAGGCAAGGAGCATAGGGTTCTAAACTTACATTTCCAGTTGACCTCTGGATACTGCTGTTTCTTATTTCAAAGGTTGACTGCTATTTACTACGCAAGTCCCATTAGGTGCACTCTGCATTTCGAAGAGTTCACGAGTGTCTCTCGTGTACACGTCAAGTTGTGCGAGTTCCATTGGCGCCATGATTAGAGTTGCATATAACAACGAAAGAATACATTTCCTTCCATACACAACCCAGCCTATACCTTTGCCTTCATGCCGCTGATCTTTTATCGTAAAACCGCAATAAATGGATGGTAAATAACGCCAATCAATGAAGTGGCTCTCGCTAAACCTGATCTTCGGCTGCACAAACAGAACACAGATGGACGATGTGGATGTCCACTAATTATGCTTAATGTGCCTTTTATGCTCCCAAGATATTTCTGGTATACTGAAACACATGAATAATAGCAGGGTTCACTGCTCGCTGGTCCTTGGTGCCCATATCCTTTCGGAGCGTAAAGTTAATTAGGGGCTGAGAAGATAAAGATGTCACAAATACCGCCACCCCCTCAGTCTCATACTCTCGGCCGTGCATGTGGCAATAATGTGAGACGGTGGAATTAAGCAAGTGCTCTTGGGCGTCAAGCAATAGCTGACGGCATGCGGGGGGACTTTGAGGAGGTCCCTGTCCTCGTCAAAAAAATTACAGCGAATCTCGCCTTTGTTCCGTTTACGACGGCGGAATTATCAGAACTGTTGTCTGCGAGAAAACTACGAACGGTGCAAGTACATTTTGCTATGATATAACAATCGCTCAATGCACAAACAGAATTGTACACAAAAGGTGTCCAGCCAAACTGACATACGATGCAGCACCGACAATGAGAAACGAGCGACCGGAGACACAAGCGACAGTTTTCGTTTTCAAGGGCACTTATGGAGTTTCATTTAAAAAATGTGTGAACAAAGGCAGAAGGAGGTCAATGATGAGCAGAAAACAAGACCCAAACTCTGGTGGGCTATTCCATACCAGGGACAACTCGGAGGCCAAAAAAACGCATGCCGAGACCAACAAATGTTGACCTTGGACATGGATCTGAGGCAAATATATGCCGCCAATTCATACAACCTGAAAGCTCAACTGCGGCAAACGAGGATGATCACTACTGCCGAACGATGGTTGAGCGGATGTGACTTGTGTGAATTTGTTTATAGTGATTTGAGTTTCGCTACACTTACCTCACTCTTCCCATACCCGTCGCGCGCCAATGGCATGATAGTCAAGCGAACAGGTGGGCGTGGTCGTGACTTAGATGCGCCGAACAAAAGTCAAGGCCGCATCATTCGTGGCATCTCCGATTGGCTTCGTTGAGTTCGCTCGAGGTCATAACCACTAACCTATATGCGTTCGGCACGTCTTAGACGGAGGTTTCCACGCCACGTCAGCCACTGTGTCCAATCCAATCACTGGTCCGCTGTCTGGCTCGGACAGTTAATTGGTGCACAGGAGATTGAAGAGTAACTAATGCTGATACTGACGAGTCCATCCGCATGACAAGTCAGCGTACTCTTCACCATAATTAACCTGAGACGTTCGAACCTAGCACGACGTATTGAAATGCATGGCATAGAGGGCTGAAAGCTGACGAGACAACACTGATACGCAACAGGACGAGGATCAGAGTCCAGTGACTGCTACCTGGTGTGAACTTTGTGGCACTGCCACTTGTACGAGATCTGAGCCTTCCTACCTCTTCCCCCCAAATGAATCCCAGTAAATGTAGTGTTAGGGGCAGGTCATGTGCGCAAATCAGAAACTTGCCTTAAAGGTTTACTGCACCCATGCCAACTTACGGGCGTCTTGAACTGTCATGCTATCCGAACGCGACAAGTATGGGGTGAATAAGGTAGATGCAACGAAGGCCAGCGTCACCATAAATTCACGCAGGTCACGGATGCACCCGCCTCGTTTGGCAGTAACCAACCCGGGCGCCAGCAACCATGAAGTGTTAGGTGCCCTTTGTGTCCCTAGGACGTTATTTTGGGATAAGAACCAAGAAGTCCAACCACGGCAACCCGGTATTGGGACGCGGTTACGGTGAGGACAGATAGGAGGGGCATCTTCGATGATGGCGGATACGAAGATGGGCAGCACAGCCTATCCGTGCACTGTGACTATGTGGACAAGTTGGTAGGAGTTTGGTGCTGGCGACGTTGGTCCGCGACACTCCACTCTTGTATGCTAGTCGTCTAACCTTAGCCTCCGATAGTTGCCTGGCTCTGAAGTGCACACCTCCTCCCCCCGAATGAAAACTGGTGCATTTGGAGTTTGGCACAGGTTGTGTGCGACAACCGCGGAAGGGCAGTTTATCTCTGTCAATTACTGCGCCAATGCCGACCTCCAGTCATCCTAACTCTGTCTTGCAACCGAATCAGGACGAGTGTCCGAGGTAAGAGTGGAATATACGCATCGCAGCTCGACTTCACTATAAAGAAATGCACGCATGTTACGCCCATCTCTTTTGGCAGCGCTCGACCTCGTCGTTTGCAATGGTCGAAGTATCGTTTCTAGTCTCCGATGATGGTCAAAGGTACGATTGACTGAGTGAAGACATAAAAATCCCGAAATAGTTCCACATCAAACAACCCTCATATTTGTCGATAGCCCAGCCTGTTATCGCATTCTGTCCAAGGTTGACCTAGTCATTAACTCTCGAACATATTTGGAGTCTTCGTCACGGGAGGCCAGCTGACTAGTACACGCCCATTCCTGCGATAGTGAATACCAGAACTGAAACGACCGGAAATGCCAACTGGCGAGGATTTGATCAGCCCCCGTTCGATTAAGTGTTAGTACTAGTTCGTTGTTACAATTAGCGTGTAGTTATCCGCGAACAAGAGGTCGCGGACACTGGTTTTAAAAACTCTTGATGACGTCATTGGGCGCCGGATATGAAGTAGCTGCCCATGAAATTAGTAATCGATGACGATTCCTGGCCATTTCTCATGACAAGCGTTCATCAACATAACGGAAAGTATGAGGCTGTTGAGGGTTTGAGCGAGTACACCGCCTGTTTCATCCCGTTTGTCATCCTAAATGCTTCCGAGACTGGCCAATTGTCCGTGACGTTCTACCATCCCGTCGTACAATTGCACAATTATCTGTGTGGATCATCGAATTCCAGCAGGATTTTCCGGAATTAATCGCGGTTTACTGTACCGAAGGTGTTTGTCAGGTCTACAAAGGTGGTGTAGAGGTTGAACCTCATTTCTTGATATTCTTCTCCCAGTGGACGGACTGCAAATGTCTAGCTCGTTGGTTCCACAATTCTACCGAAATCCGCACGGACTCCTGGAATGAGTCCTTACTGTGGGTGTAGATCCAGGCAAGTAAGTATTACTCGGGAGAAGACTTGGTCAGTAGTTGTCGCAGATTTGCCGGTATTCGTCCTTGTCGCCGGATCTTCTTAAGCAATGGTGTATGCTTGTTCATGGGCCGTATCTCCAGATTTCGGTTGGGAATCAGTAAGTACACGTCATGCAATACAGAGATGACCTGTTGTATAGAAGGGCGCGAAACATTGTCTATAGAATTCGCTACATGGTTAATCATTGTGGCATGGGGGAGGGGGGGGGGGGCAAGAACCGTAAAATTCGCACGAAGTTAAAAATTGCAGAGAAGACCGAGTTCTTATTGAAAGGTGTATACCCGCAGTAATTGGAATGAGCTCCGGGGATTTACAATACTCATTTATGACGGTGTATAGTTACCGTTTGCCAAAAAGCAGCACAATCGAGAGCATTTTCTTCAATAATCAAAATTGTCTCAGGCCGCATAAGCCTCAGTAAAATCTTGCACTTACTTACTCTTACTTGATACGGCTGTGACCATGCCTGATCTAGACGGCCTCGATAATGTCACGAACTGTACCTCTCCACGCGTGACGATCCGCGGCAGCAGGTCTGGACAGTTCAACCCATCGTCTTCGCCAACGACGGAGACCGAATACCGAAGGTCTAAGAACCATCTCCATGTCTTGACGGACTGTGTCGAGCGAGGTTTTGAACTGACCCCCTCTTTGACGCCTCTAATGGGGCAATGGTGCTGGATCGAGGGCAGTAACACTGAGCTCCTGAGGTCGATGACGAAGAACATGCCCGAACTACCTCAGTCGTCTTTCTTGGATGGCCTGAGTTATCCTTGCGATGTTGTCGCAGCGAGCGCGGACTGTCTCATTTGGGACGAAGTCGGTGAACTTCACACGAAGGATGGTCCTCAGACAGTGGTGGTCAAATACCTCCAGTTTCCGCTCGTCCTCCACGCGCAAAGCCCGGCACTCACAACCGTAGAGATGAACAGACTGGACAGACGCACGGCACACGCGAATCTTAGTGGCGATGGAGAGGTCGCGTCGAATACATAGACATTTTCGAAGGCTTCCGAAAACCCGGCGGACAGCATCAATTCGGGAGAGAATGTCGTCCTTACTCTGTCCATTAGGCAGCGGCCTCGCCCCGAGGTATTTAAAACTGTCTACTTCTTCAAGCTGACAACCATCAATCCCGAGGGGTGCATTTTCCTGGTCAGGGATGTAGCTTGAAAACACTTTAGTCTTTCCAGCGTTTATAGATAAACCGACCGATTTAGCGACCTCGTTCACTCTTGACACCATAGACTGCAGATCACCGAAACTTGGAGCAAGTAAGGCGATATCATCGACATAGTCGAGATCAGTCAGTCGGTGTCCGGATGCAACTCAACGCCGCCACATTCGTGTAGGGCCCTCCAGAGAATCCAGTCAATAGCGTGGTTGAACAGTATGGGTGACAGGATACAACCCTGTCGGACGCCAGACCGAATACCAAACGGTTGGAAAAGATTGTTGTGGACCAGGACTCTGGTAGTAGTGGAGCGATAGTAGGCCTTGATCGTGACGATGATTTTTGCCGGTACACCATCTAGCGCCATTATCCGCCACAGGGACTCCCGATGAAAAGAATCGAACGCGGCGGCAAGTCAATGAGGCAGACGGCCGTCGGTTGTTGGTAGCTATGGCGAAATTCGAGAATGCGCCTCAGTGTGAATATCTGGTCTGCGCATCCACGTCCAGCACGAAATCCGGCTTGGTTGGGCCTCGTCCTTGAGTTACGCGCAGCCTGGAATCGCCTGAGTAGGACAATAGCGAAGATCTTCGCAGCAACGTCGATGAGACTTATGCCGCGGTAGTTCTCGCATCTTGTCTTATCTCCCTTCTTGAGGATAGGTACAAGGATGCCTAAGCCCCAGTCATCAGGAGCAACCTCGTCTCTCCATGCTCGTTCAATCACCTCATGGAGCCAGGGCGCCAGAGTGTCGACACAAGACATGAAGATTTCAACGGGTATACCGTCCTCTACAGGTGCCTTATTGTTGCGCAACTTTCGTATGGCATCCGCGAATTCTCCCTCGGAGGGGAGATCGCATGGCACTGTATAGGTAGGAGAGGGAAGAAACTCCGCTGAGGACGATAGCAAGAGCGAGGTAGGTTGGGTATCGACGTTGAGATGGTGCTCAAAGTGCTCACGCCAGCGCTCGACTTTGACTGAGTTGTCGGCAATAAAGCCACCATTCACGTCGCGAACAGAGTCATTCAGTGTAGAGAAATTAGCACGAACTTGGCGGATAAGTTGGTAGGGTCTTCGAGTGTCACCAACGTTCGAGGTCACTATTTCAGCCCAATATTGCTTCCGGTCATCCCTGGCTGATTTTGCCGTCATCTTTCGAAGTTGGCGGAAGCAGTCATCGTTAGGGGACCTGGCTCGAGCCGTCTGAGCAGACAACTGCAGGGTTCTTCCACTGATCCAGTCACTGCGGCGTCGCTGGGTGTATCCAAGGATTTTCTCAGCTGCACCATAGACTGATGTTTTTAGTGATGACCACGGGTTACTGCTTTCTCCGTCGGCTCGTGTCGTAAAACAGGACCAGATTTCTCTGCTCAGGGCCTCAGCAGCGCTGGTTTGCCGGGTTTTTGTGACATCGAGGCATCTAGGACGTGGCTTTTTTGGCGCGAATAAGAGATAAATTTTCAAGTGTGTACGAACGAGGACATGGTCCGACCCATGGGCGTTATCAGTCTCGGCACTACGCATCGATCTGCCATAGTGAACCCAAATGCGGAACCTTGAGCTGACAAGTATGTAATCAAGCTGACTGGCCGTATGGCCGTCGTTTGAATACCAGGTCAGCAGATGTTTTTTGCGATGCTGGAAACATGTGTTGGTGACAAGCAGTCGGTTTCGATCAGCGAAGTTCAGCAATCTCTCACCATTTTCACATCGGGAACCAAGCCCAAAGCAACCAAGATAATGACTGGCCGTGGGGTCGCCAAGTCAAGCTCGACCATTCCAATCGTCAGCAAAAATCAGCTGATCGCGGCGAGGCAGTCTCTCAACTAACGCTTGCGATTGCGAGTAAAACGCCTCCTTACCGTTCTGTTCGGCAGCGTACACAGAGACGTCTTCCCCAGTAAAATCGGTTGGAAGTAGATAAAAATAACATTGGGGGCTGTGGAGACGCTTTAACATACCTGGGAGAGCTTTTGGGAAAGAGCAGTTTTCTCCTTGGTAAGGGTCGCCACCTTGGATTCTAGGGTGGAGACTAACTGGAGGGTTTTTTCCAATTTGACCTCTACGTCCGCAGTTCGAGCCGCGGACTCTGAAGTAATAATATCCAACTGGGACTCAAAGTATTGTCGCTGGGATTCTAGCTGACTGATCATTATGGCGCTGAACTCGGTGTTAAGACAGTCCAATTTCTTATCGCCAGTTTCACTGCCTTCACCAAGCTAAAACACAATGACCTCCAGGTAATATAAAGTGTTAATTCCATAACTACAGTCAACAAAATATCGCCGAATCGAAAAAACTACACAATGTGAATAAGTAAATGTGGAATGAGTAAAAGCACTTTAGGAGGGTTTTTATCTGACAATCTTTCTCTTAAACTAGCGAAGTCTGCATCTAAATAAAGGCAAGACCATGTATTAAGACGAGACGTGTGCCGGTCCAGCATTCGACCCGCCTTCAACGGATGATCTCAGGTTTAAACTGGGGGGTGGAATAGAGCAAAAGATCACAATCGACCAATTTTTGGCCAGGTTGCATAGCTCAGACTATGTTCTTGTTGTCAGAAAGTTTAGTCGCTTCTCTCCCAACCCCACCACCCCTAAATAAAATCTACCCTCTGACGAGTATATTTACGCCAACTCCGAAAACTGTCGAATTATGCGATTATAAGATGGCTGAAAGGGAAGCAAGGCATCAAAACTCGCATGAGCAAAGTATACCTGCACAAGTTTGCCATCCTCCTGGTTTACGGCCAGTCGGTGTACGTAGGCATCATCTGCATAGTCCCAGACCAAGTTTTTGCCCAGCTCAAGTGCAAAGGTGTGTCCTGTTTCCTGGAAATGACGATGCGCATGTTTTTGACCATAACGACCGCAACCGACGTGGCCGCAAATCAGACAGATCCAGAGGTTTTCACGGAGCTCACAGTCAGCACACTGGCTATCAGCAACCATCTCGGGGGACTGAACGTACCGGCAAACGGGGCACCTTTAAACACAATCAAGTGATTGAAGAGAAAGAATCGATTTACAGCAATACCAAAGTTATGTTAAAATTGACGGAAGCACTATCACATAGAAAAATATAAATGAATACTCCAAAAGCATGATCTTGAAATGCAGAGAGGATTGGGCCTCATTAATCGAGAAATATCTTCGACAAAGACTAGAAACTGGGATGGTCATTTGCAGCTTATTTAGTCATCGGCCAGTTCAACTCCAAGTCCTAGTTGGAAAATAAGACTTAGGCCCTGCACAGTTTGGTACCGTGATCCTTCGAGTCAAACTTCCCACTTAAGTTGCGGGCGCACATCCGGTCGCTTACGATAGGGGATATTCGAAATGAAGTCCATCGACGTATGCTGACTGCAGGATTTTAGGTCTAAACAGTAGCATTCGGAAAACAACGGGGAACATGTGAGTTTCGAAGTCCAAACTTATATAAGCAACCACTATTTAGTGTGGTCCTCATATATAACACACAACAGCAAAAAGTGATGTTTCCGCGGCTATTTTATTCTCCCTATTCTCTTGGTTATAGATTTTTTTCAGTGTCCTAGTTATTGTCAGGATTTAATTTGTAGTTCACATTATGGTTATGAGGCGACTGGGTGGTAGCTTGACAAACCACCGTAAAGCCTACCCCACGTGCAACACTTTCAGCAACCAACCGGGTCGATGCTACCACATGAATATAAATTTGAAGCTCAGACAAGATCAAGGTCTACTTTCGACGGAAAACCAAACCACACAAGTCGGATCTACTTTTCTGTCGAAACCGAAGGACATAAGCCTTATGGCTAGTTAAGATTGTTGGTAACGACTGTGCGAGGCACTTAGGCAATATTCGCGGATTTTGTTTGGTAAGAAAACCACCAAAAGTGGAAATCGCCAAGTTTTCGGCAAAATGAGTCTCAGTTTAAAAGAGTGTCGGTTTTGACTGACGCAGTTTCCATTAGGTCCGTAACAGCGACCATTTATAGCTAATCAAACCTAAACATAAAAAACTGAATGCTTTTGTCGGAGCCGTGTGCTGATATTTCTTTGTGCACGGCGAAGCAAATACTTTAGGTTCGTAGTCTTCCACTCTGTTAGCGCATACTAATTGAGTGCACCTGAATAGAACTCTTGAATAATCTTTATATGGACATAACTGCTTTCCAGAATCTGTAGTAGTTTGGGTTTGCAGTTCGGAAAATGCAACGTTAGCACCTAAACTTACGTTAATTTCACTCCGACTTATTTTTTGAAAAATTGGCATATTGTACGCAAACACCCGAAAAAACCGCGATCGCGAGCGAAGCTTACACAACAAATAAAAAGAGATAATTCGGGGATGTCACAAATAGCTAGACCAGGAAGTGAGAATTACGTCGTTTCCGTCGTCTGAGATATGCACTCATCATGGAAGTTGTGATTGCAGAGAATGGTTGTGAGAATACCTTGTACCGGCTCGTCCTACGAAAGATCACTGTTATTTATGAAACCAAAACAAACCAGTTTTTCCAGACAAACCGGACATGAGGGTAACTCGACGAGGCCTCGCAAAGGAAAAGTGCCGCCCTACAACAGTATGAAGAAATCCAATCAGAGCGTACCAGCGAGGAGTGAACAGCCTCGACGTGAGATATGTACGCAAGCTGACAGACGTCAGGCTCAAAACTGTTATATGCAACTCCATTTAATGCCTCGTAGAATTGATCAGCAGATTCCTTGTTAAAGGGTGAAACAAATTCCGGTCAGTACTTGGTTGTCGAAGTTTAGCAGGGCCATATAATGTCCGACATGACTACCCTTCACAATTTTCAGTTCAAGAATCCCTCTCCTAAAGAATGTGGAATAAAGTAAAATAAGAACCTCATTGGGGCGCAAAAGCTCAGCAGATCCTTCACGGTTATGTTCGAAGGAATCCCTAGCATGCAGAGCATGCTTGAGGCCTGGCATCCAACAGTTGCTTCCTTTTTACTCCTTTAACTGTTATAAATAAAAGGAGTGAACTTCGTCTTAAAGAGATGAATTATTCCTTCGGTTTTCTCAACAGTAGGGTTGCCAGACACAAATGATATTTTGTCGGGTTTGCTGGAGGTCCCAGGCATCTCGTCTGCAGCTGCCAAAAATAAGTATAACGGGCAACTGTTACCGACAAAACTGTATGTAATTATCTTTAGATTAGCAAATACGCGTCTTCCTGGTGATATCACAACCGGGTTTTCTGAGGACAATTTCGTTTCTGAACATAGGTCAATGAACCCAGGAGCTACAGAAAGAAAATGAAATATTATCTACACAGCCCCACCAGAAAACGCTATTTTGTTGGACAAGGTTGGGACTTTTTCGTTAATTAGTATGGAGAGCGAGCGAACGATCGATGTTAGCATCCGGCAATGACATTCCCGTAAGTGAATTTTCTTAGCACGCGCTCAAATACAGTGAAATAAAAGTCCGAACGGCAAGTTATCGTAGGATATATATGGAAACAAAGGTCTCTTCGCCTTCTTAAGGATGTCGTGCTTGAATTTTTGTTGATGTTAAATCCGAATCATGGGTTATAATTCTTAATCAGAATTTAAATGTGGCCGTACGACGGGCAGCTCTCAGGCGGTAGAAGCATGCCGGCGTAGGACTTTGCGACAACAGTATTAACAACTTAACCAAAGAAAGAAGCCCAGAATCGAAATATGAAAGACTGGCTAGAACTTATAAACCGCCAACAAAGAGCGGAACCTGTGTCAGAAAGGAAGGCGGCTTAATTGTTATTATCCACATATGAGGAATTTCGAAACCTCAAATGAGAACCCTACGGAGTTCCTAAAGTAGTTAAGAGGAGTCATAACTTCTGCTGACGAAATAATGATTTTCTTCGGTATCTCCTCTCACTTTGTACCCGTGTCGTTAGATCTACCAAAAAACGCACTGAGTTATTCCTGCAGTCCTCCGACACGGATGTTCCCGCAACATCCTTTCTTAAAATCACAGACACGTGCTTGGAAATCAACTTTTCATCTGACCGACAGTGCTATTAGAAATTATAAATCGCTTCTATTGGGTTACCTACCTCTGGTTTGCTCGGCAAAATGGCATTACGATTTTATGTGCTGTCCTAAATTGCGACTGAAACATATGGGCGACACATATGTTATCTTCAAAAAAGATCAAATGCTAACGCATCAAAATGCTGTAACCTCAAAAATTCTGAGAATCGCACTCAAACTCGAAGAGGAAGTTAGCAAGAGCTCGCAGTCCTAGATGTTTTCGTACAGCTAAATTTTGACGGGATATCATTCTCATAGGTGTGTCACAAATAAAGTTGTGCGGAAGTCATTCACAATGCGAGAGCAGCTGACAGCTGGACCATTATGGACGACGGCTTTCACTGTTTGCTCACCAACAGGACGGGTGCAGGGACAGCGACGTGTGCGTAAATTAATCCTAGCAATGACGGACTTGCGCTACGTTTACCGTGGTCTCTCCCTCCCCCCGCCATCCTGGACTCGACGCCAAGATAAAGTCATGGAGAGCGGAGGAGGGAGATGGCACATGTGGCTGGTGCGGCGTAAGCCTGCACCTAGGCGTACCACAAAACCTCCAAGGCTAATCCCTTTTATGACCCTTCTTACGGGTGCAAAGTCCAACAACGTGTGCAAAACCCTGACCTGGTTCTGTTTTCATCCACTATAAATCCCAAACTGTTGAACAGGAGATCCGCGCTCAAAAACGCCCACCCATCAGCTTTTTCTAGCGGGACTTCCCACCTGCGGAGAGGGAGATGGTGAGAGGTCCCAAAGTGGAAATCCTCAGAAGGTCGAACCTGGACGCAAAAAATATCAGAATACTTAATGCGAAATTTATACGCGTTCAGAGGTCAATTCTCTGGAGAAAGCCTATAACCGTAACAGCCTAGGCTTGGTGGACACCTGTCCATCTGGATTAAACCCAGCCGGCTTTCGCATACGGTCCCATGAAATAGACGGACGCCTATATGCCGGAATTACTCAAGCCAGATGGAAATTTTTGTATAATAATGCCCAAAGTTTCGTTTCGAAGATCAACGGACTCAAAGAGCGACTTTCAGAACGAAACCCTGATGTGGCTATCATAATGGAAACAAGGCTTAAAGTCGAAATCGCGGATGCGGAGATTTCGATGCTGACTTACCAACTCTTTCGCAGAGACCGTCTAAATAGATGGGGTGGTAAGGTAGCCGTATATGCAAAGATAGGAATTTCGCCAGCTAAACCAGCCCGCACCCACCCCTTGAATAGGAAATCGCCCGGGTAAAGAGAAAAAAGATTAACGTACAAAACCTGGGATTTCTGACGGTCTACGGACCATCAAACCTTCAGATCGCAGCTGACGAGTCGCCCCTCCATTTTACCAAGGAAGCAGCCAGTCTTCAGTAGGTTATTATTGCTGGAGATTTCAACACACTTAACGGTACATCAAATTCCCTCAGCTGTAAACTAATGGACCTCATACTCGACCTGCCTCTGGCACGGCATCTAGAGACATCAGCAAAATCTAGAGAGAACCAGCGAGCCAATTGTCTGGACCTGTTTCTTACGAAAGACTTCTCTAACACTGGCGAAGTGTATTCCAGTGCACCTTTCGGAAGGAGTGACCATACTACGCTAATGTGTATTACTCGCCCTTCTCTCAACACCAGAAGAGGACAGAGGACCAACCTAATATATGGGACGCAGACTTCAACATAAGGAGGAACGAATTGATGTCTGTGAATTGAGACTGTTTGCTCAAGGGGATCCAGATGGTGGCTGGAGATCGTTTAAAACGGTTTCACTTGATGTCAGTCGTCGCTGTTGTCAACTGAAGATGCAAAAAAGATTACTTGACCTGCCGGCTTAAGTGGGGACCTGAAAATGTAGTTAAGGCAGAAAAACAAGGGATGGAGGATATTTAGGGAAACTGGGTCACCAATTCACCTATAGGAGTTTCGTTATCAACGAAATGCAGTCAGAAAATGCATCCGTCAGGCAAGGAAGGGCTATGAATCCAGAATTATTCGTCAGGCTGAGCAGATGCCCAAAATTTTATTCCACTATATTAATAGCCATCTGGAAATCGAGTATCCGGTCACAGTACTGAGGTATGGTAATGGTGCACAAATAGGTGAAAATGGCAAGAGGACCGAAAACTTGGGACGGTACTTTGCCTCGGTATTCACTAAGGAAATGGAGTTTCAGAGTCACAATGAGAGCAATGTTGTTGTGGCCGCCGGTACCTTGCTTAAATCCACATCCCGACATCTGTCGTGAAAAGAGAGCTATAAAATCTCAGAGGAGCAAAGTCGTCGAGTGCGAGCAATATATCAGCCAAATTCTTGAAGGAATTGATAAACGAACACTCCAAACCCTACCACACATTTTCCATTCGTCCTTCGAACTAAGGAGACTACCTTCCGAATGGAAGACAACAAATGCCTACCCGATATACAAAGGTGGGGCTCGAACTTATGCTAACAATTACCAGCCTGCTATTCTTAACTGCATCTACTGTAAAATAATGGATACCATACATAATAAACCAACGATAAAGTTCCTGAAACAGAACAATTTACTCTCAGGGCTACAGCACCGCTCATGCCTTTCTGGGTGATTCCTCTCGCCTCAGAGGTGGATTCGCGCACTGTACGGGGACGGTTGGGTCGGTGTCATGTGCACGAATTTCAAGAAGGCATTCCAAAGCGTCCCACACAAACGCCAAATCTACAACCTGTCTGAAATTGGAATAAGAGGAAAGCTGCTGGCATGGATCACAGACTCTCTTACAGGGAGATCAAAAACCGTGTGTTCTGATGCCTCGAACTCAACCTTTACCCCTTCTAAGTGATGTTCCCGCAGGGCTCAGTCTTAGGGTCGCTGCTATTACTAGATTATATCAAAGACTATGTCGACGAACTTGGATGCAGTGCAATCATGTTTGCTGGCGAGGCTTAACTGTGGAGAGGCATAAGATCTGACGCAGACAGGCACGCATTTCAGGAGCGTCCCAACTAACTAAGCAGTTGGTCAGCTCGGTGGCGCCTAGTATTTTAAAGTGAACAAATGTGTTGTCAGAAGAAATGGTGGCGAGCGAACGTTGCGTTCGATAACTTCTTGTCAGGCCAATGCAGTTAGATGTGACGGGAAACAGTGCAGTAAAGAAAAAAAATCGATAAAAGTTAGGTTTCAAATTACATGCTAGACAAGAGCGGAAGGGTGCAGAAGCTTGTGTCTGTTTAGTCAACCTTTGACCACGGTAAGCGCGGAGCCTAAACGACGTACTTCTGGGCGCATAGATTCGGTTTTCGTTACCTGATGGCGGCCGCTTCTGCTGTTGCTAAGAGGCGCTGGCTCAGTAGCTTAGGGTAGCTCGAGGGGACCTTATAAATCACACGAAATGCTTCAGCTGGGTCCACACGATCCCCTGAATCCGCTGCATGCGCAAGGATGGCGCTGTCTATTATCCTAGTTTCACCTCTTGCAAGCCCTTCGGGAAGGTGCTCTCGTATTCTTTTTAGAAAGGCGCCGACTCTTACGACCAATATAGCCTGCTCCACAGGAGCAAGTGAATGAGTAGATGCACATTGAGGCGGTCTGAGCTGGCAGACTATTCTTACCTTCTCCGCGTAAAATAGGGTTAGTAGAGAATGATATGCTAACCTATGCTGCTGGGAAGGTTCCCGAGACAGCTTCGTCAAGGCGTCTTCTTAGGAGTTTACTTTCAGCGTCTCCTGGGAAAGGGACTTTGAGGAACAACGTTTTCCTTTCGGAGGTCAGTGTGGTGGGTTTTGAGGGTCGTTCGGTAAGGTTCTTTGCAAGGAACCTGTCAGGGTACCCGTTTTCGCGAAGTAAGTCCTGAATTTTTCTAAGTTCCTCCTCGATACTATCTGTCGAACAAATTTTTTTTCTAGCCCTTTGTGCCAAACACCTGACTAGATTCCGTTTTTGTTGGAGAGGTAGGAAACTAGCAAAGTTTCTTGTATTGTCAGACCGGGTTTTCTTCCTGTAGACGCTACTTCGGATGCTACCGTCAGATCTCCTATTCAGAAGGACATCTAAGAAAGGAAGCGAACCGTCCGATTCAATCTTCAACGTGAGTTTGATCGATGGATGTGCTCGGTTTACAGCATTTAGGAGGACAGCAACGTCGGTTTCTGTGGTTGCAATCGCAAAGGTATCATCAACGTTGCGACCGTAATGTTTGAGCTTTTTGATCTGATCGCATAGTTGGAATTTCTCCAGCTTTCCCATGAAGATGTCGGCTAAGAGAGGTCCAAGAGGCGAGCCCATAGCAACGCCGTCTATTTGTCTATAGAGTTGGTTGTCAAAAAGGAATTGCGCATTTAATGTGCACCTCATTAATAGGTCCTTGAGTGTGT